GCAGTGTACTTCGTAGACCTGCCTGTTCTGCTCCCCACTCTGTCTCTGGTGAAGCCTCTCACCCTCGCATCTCTGGCTTATACCCCAGTTCTGTATGAATAAATAAATAAAAATCTTTTTAAAAAAAATAAGAATGGCAAGAGGAAAATCTGAGTGAAAAAGTAGTAAAAGTGGGAAATACATTATGCCATCAAAAAGCATGAACAAAAATAGGAACATGCATTGTTTTGGCCAGGGACTAGGGGTGTGATCAGGTGATGTAGGACAGCTTAGTAACAGCGCCTGTAGCAAGTGACTAATATGGGCAGAATACTATCTCAGGAAAGTTGATCTTTCAGAAAGTTAATTGAAAAAAGGAAATTAAGGTAGAAGACAACTCAGACATGTCTTAGGTTAAGTCTGAGTTATAATACTGAAAATGAAAAATAATTACAAAAAAGTCTTAACATGGCAACTGTGTAAGTCATTAGGGCTTTTCAGTGATAGTTCCCATTCTCCTCCCGAGATCATAGTAGGAGTCCACTTGTTCACTCTTGGGAAGCTAGGGGTAGCTATCCTACTTGCTTTGGAGCATAAAGTATGAGGCAATGTGACAAGTGTCAAGTCAGAATGTAAATTTTTAAGAACAAGCTTGTGATTCTCCACCTTCTCTCTTCGTGTTGCCCAGACCATAATGTTTCTGGGCCTTGTTAGTTTAAATCTCTAAAATGGACACCAGCATGACAAGAAACAAAGCTTGTTTTAAGCCACAAAGTTTTTGGATTATTTGTAACTACAACACAACCTGGAACATACTAACTGTGGTGGTTTTTAAATATGTCACATTTTTACAGTCCCTTCTTTAGGTCAACTTAATTTCCCTCCCTTTTTGAATGAACTGCATGAGTAATTGTTAGAAGTAATGGTGTGTAACTTTGCAGACTAAGTCCAGATGAGGACAGGATTGCTCACTTTGAGGGAAGCCAAAAGACAATGCATATTACAAAGTGAGCCAGCCACTCAGAGGGAATCCTGCTTGAGCATCCCAGTCAAGATACTATATGACATTATGAGGGGGTCCAAGCTACTCTCCAGAAATTCACAAGTTGAAGAACTGGGGCCTATGGCCAACAGTATCAACCTGCCAAGTTTGTGTTCAGCCATCTTCGAAGAGGATCCTATAGCCACAGTCAACATTCTGACAGCAAGTTCATGAAATAAACTGGGACAGTGAGGCTGCAGTTGGCTTCTTCGATCCACAGAAATGATGGGTGATAATACTGTTTTAAGCTACTGCTTTAGACTAATTAATAAACAGATAAGTAATACATTCACTGACACAAAAATACACTAAAAATGGAGTATCAAGGACAGGGAGAAATCAAAGCTAACTCCTAGGTTTTGAGCTTTGAATGACTTGTACAAATTGTGATACTGCTGATTCTGTCCTATTCTGTACTATTGGAGTTTTGTGGCAAGGGCCATGTCTGTCCAATAAACATTTGTTGGAATCTTATTAATGTTTAATAACCGAAGAAAGTGTTCAAACCTGAAAATAACATTCCAGTACCGACAGGGGAGAACTTTCATGTCATCTCTTCTGAACACTATACTTTCATCAGAATTCTGTCAGCAGCAGCATCACACTGCTGTTACATACCAACTGCACGTTTAGGATCCTAAGGAAGTGAAAATGGAAACAAACTCACAGGCCATTTCCTTACTATAATCCCTCCCATTCACTTTAGGATTCACCTGAAAGGGAGTTGAAGTTATGTTAATTTTCTCTGATGACTACCAATTTCTATAGCAAAAGCACAAAAGGAAAACAGAAGTAGCACAGTGAAGACTGAGTATTCTATAATGAACTGTTCCATGTATCGCAAGCAAAACTGAAATATTACCTGGCATCATTCTATCAATTCTAACTTCAGCTTGCATTCTACCTCTAAAACCCTTAACCAAATCTTTATTTACAATCACTTCTCAAATTTTCAACTGCCGCATCCTCTCTCAGAAGTATCTGAAGTTTTTTGTCTTGAAAAATAGTTAAATTCATTAGGGTTGATCTCAAATCCCCAAGAATTTTGAAGCATCGCCACATCAGGAACAAATTTCATAACTGGGAACAGAAGCCAATACCATAGCATACTTTTTTACACAAAAATATAATGGGCTGTAAAGTTACGATAGTATTTTTTTTTTAAGATTTATTTATGCATACATGAACTAGAATGAGGGTGCAGGAGGGGGTGTGGGGGTGGGGAGACAGAGACAGAGTAGGGAGCAGAACAGGCAGACTGACTGAAATACACTGTTGAGGGGATCAATGGGGAGACAGGAGAGGCCCGCTGCACCATGTGGGTCAGCTCCCTGGCTGGGGATCTAAGTGCTGCAGTGGCTATGACAGCTTTGTTAGGGCTGTACTTTAATTCCTTGCATGACCAGGGAGGGCCCATGATAGTATTTTATTAAGCATTATCATAAAAATGGGTTTTTCTATTTACAAAAAAGTTGCAAGAAATTCCCACACAATCATCATGCAAATTCCCTTGTTAATATTTACAATACTATGTGTATCTGTCAGAACAAAGAAACCAATATTGATACCATATTATCAACGAACCCATGCTTTATTCATGTTTCACTGGTTTTTCTGTTCAAGGATCCCAGTCAGGACACTTAATTACATTTAGTGACTACTGTGTCATTTCCTCTGGTAAGACAATTTCAAGACTTTCTTGTTGTTTGTGACCATGACAGTTTGAGTAGCAGTGAGGTGATCTGTAGAATGCCCATCAGTTGAATTTGACTTGGTCTGGTATTTGTCTCATAGGTAGATTTTAAGGGAAAATTACAGAGAGGGAATTCAAATTCTTCTCATAACTTACACAATCAAAATAACATCACTAATGTGAATACTGGTCACCTGGCCTAGGTAGGGGTTTGCTAGATTTCTGTGGTGTGAAATTAAGCTTTCCCTGTGTCGACCCTGTCCTTTGAAAGAAAAAAATCACTGAACACAGCCCACTCAAGTTGGAGTTAGGGTAAGAAAGAGGAATGAAACTCCCCTTTCTGAGAGAGCAATGGCTTTTAGAAATAAAACATAAACCTGAGTGCATTTAATAATGCAATTGTTAAGTCAAGGCACACGGCCCAACACTTCAAAGTTACAGTCCTTAACCACAGGGAACTGATCACATAGAAACCATCAGGTAAATGCAAGTTAACTACTATTGTGTATCCACGTTCTGGAAAGTTTCACAGAATGCTATTTAAGCCAACCATTCAAAACTGAGAATTCTCATAGATGAAAACAGATTCCAAAATATGCAAGGTGGAGGAGATCATAAAATACAGGGCAAAGGAAGGGGGACTCATTTAAAATCCATTTTCAGACCAAGCACCAAATTTCAGCCTGACAGCAGTAATGGGGGGGGTGCTGGGGAGAGAGGGGACAGAGAGGGGCTCCAGGGACTGTGAGCCTTGTTTTAGGGCCTTCACCCAGTGGAAATACTCATTTAAAAACTTCCCATCATTCTTTGTAGGTTAGCATAGGCGAATGGCGTTAGGGGCTGCACTGCCTAATGTACCTTTCCTCCACCTCCGCCTCCAAATTCATATCAAATTCCTAGTCCTGGGAATAAGCTCTTTGAAGACGTAAATCAGGTAAAAGGAGGCGCTCAGCCAATGCCTGAGGTCCAGAGGAGAGGGGGTCCAGGTGTGCAGATCGAGCAGGGCGGGGGCGCCCACAGGCCTAGGGAAGGGCTCAGAGGCAGCCCCCCTCCCGCGCAGCCTGCAGCCCGAGGAGAGAGGCCCGTCCCGGATGCAGGCTGCGGGGCGGGGTCACCGCTCCTGCACCGAAGGCGGCGAGGGGTTCCCTAGGAATGGAACTCGGCAGAATTCCCCACTGCGGTTTGACTAGGCTTTTGTCTCCACACCCTTCTCTCCTCAGCGAGAGCAATAGCAAACAACAAGGTAAGAGTGGGGGAGGTGGGAAAGGTGAGCCTTAGAAACCGCGCCGGTTCTTTGCATTAGAACTTATTCCCGAGGACCTTGTCCTCTCTTGACCACACTGGCCACGTTTGCGCCTGGCAAGTCCCTTCGTCCCGCCCAGGTGTGTGAGGCGGAGACTTCGGGAAGCCTCCGCGATGGCTCAGCAGCTCCTTAGAAAACCTAAGACCGAAGCTACTTCCCGCTTCACCTGCGCGGGGGTTCAACCGCTTCAGTAAATGCACCTTCGTTGTGGTCAGCGGGAGAGGGGGACCCTGACGCCCGAAGTGAGGCGGCGGGAGGCGGGAGCCCGGCGCCCGAGCAGCTGACTCCTGTCAGCACGGGAAACGCGCGGCCGCCGCCCGCCGCCCTCGCACGTCCGCTAGCCTCGCTTTCCTCAGCCTGCCTTTACACGACGGTTTAGGGAGGCTGTTAGCCTTGAGTGCAGCTACTTCGAGAAGGTTCGCCCCAAACCAGCCACCACACGAAAACGGGGAGTATGTCACGGACACCTGTGCCTCACAAACAGCAATCCCGGCGCAGGCGCCGGTGGCCGACACCTCACTAGCTGAGACATTAAAAACAAAGCTAGTGCCACATAAACTGTGCCGCCTGAAGTTTAAATGCTTACGACTACCGAACCTGTTGTTTCCGTAACAACGGTGACGTCTAAAACACCTATCCTAGCGTCACAGCCAACGAGCTTTTCGCTTCACTCCGTCAGCCCCTAAAGCGGGCTTCGGGATTTCCTGGTATCGCGAGAGTCCTTGGTCTCTGTTTCGGCGCAGGCGCCGGAAATGGAGCGCGGGAGAGTGGCCCCCACGTACGGGGAGGGGTGGGCGACGATAGGGAGAGACGCTGAGACATGGGAGGGGCCGAGTAAAAGAAGCGGGAGAATGCGAGGGGCGGTGCCGAAGCGGGGCTACGAGGGGGAGGGTCAGATGGGGTTATTTGCATAAACTCCGCCCCTCACGGGGCGTTCCCCGGAAGAGCGTCATCGGTGCTATAAAAAGGCGAGCGCGGCGCTTAACTTCCTTTTGCATCCGGGAAGCGTGGTTCGTGTAGTACTAGGTCGTCACGTTTTGTGCGCCAAAGACAAAAAAAAAAAAAAAAAAATGCAGAGGACTCGGAAGTGTTGGGCTGCTGGGTGGCGCTCATCTTTTAAAATCTCTAGTTTCGAAGGGCCGAGTAGACTTAGTTCCTTAGGGCGTGCGGAGGCCACGTGCAGCGCTGGGCGCTGAGCCCCCGAGCTCGACGGGCCCTGGGCCTGAGCTTCAAGCAGCGCCGACGGACAATGTCCTTATGCTGACAGTGTTGCGTGGCCATCTTAAGTCTGCGCCGCTACTGTGCAGTGGTAACATCCTGCTGGTCGCCGCGGGTGGAATCGGTTGGTGAGTAACCGCCGTAATTACGCGTATTTGATAAGTTATGGAATTGTGGATCTCCATGTATCTTTGGGACCTGTCGGCTGTGGCAGTCTCCCTTCCTAGCCATGGAAGAGCATATTCTTGTTTATTGGCAAAGCTGTCACCATTTAATTGGTATCAGATTCTGACTTGCACAAGTAACATTCTTTGCTCCAAACGGGGAGGGTGCTGGGATATTGGTCAAATAGCTAAAAATTATTCATATGTTTTTAGGAAGCTGAGGTCCAATGGGTGATGGAAGTTGTAACGAGGTATGTTGTTTTTTATTTGGATTAGTGTTAACCTGAAAGTTCTAAGGAATTGGCTAAAATGTTGCTGGCGTTTTTGTAATTCTGAAGCGTTAGCGGAGGCTGAGATGACTCATTAAGTAGCCTCCCCGTGTGTGAAGTACAAGAACAAGAGTTTATAAACTGGTTTTCTTCCCTTGCAGATGAGAATTCTGAAGTGATGTGGGTGAAGTCTTGATCAGGATACTGCATACACCCGTGATTTTAAATATCAACAGGGAATAGTGACTGCTAATGTTATGAGAACTATTCTGGCTGTATTTCAATATGTCTAAATAAAATGCGGTATTGAAACAGTGCTTCATTGTTATAATTCAGTAAAATGGTATGCGGTGCGGTACTTTAAGTAAATGGAAAGATAACTTTGGGATTTTAGTATTTTGAGAAAACCGTAACACTGAAGATTCGGACAATACTAGGTGAAAAGCTATGTGCTTTATTTATACAGTTGTGCAACAAACAATAAAAGTCACAGTTAACAAGAAATTGGCTATAGTAAAAGCATATGTTACAGGGTATTCTAACTTGTGAAACTACCTCAGTTAAAATTTTTGTTTACTCCAGCACTAGTTGCAAGGGCAGCCTGTGAGGTTTCAGTGCAGATTTTCTCCTGTATTGCACATTTTTCCCAAGCCCTTGTGCAAACTATACTGAGTGCAGCTCAATCATCTCTATATTATATGAGGCTTAAACATTTTCCTCCTATCAAAATCTTGAGCTTTTAGAAGTTTTAGTGCAATCCTACCTAAAATAGCATTACATTTCTACAAAGTTATAACTATAAAGCACCATTAGGTGAGCACCTTTTTTTTTTTTTTAACAAAAAGCTGTAGATTTACAAAAGACATAATTTGATGCAGAAGGTAAACAGGTAAAGTCCACTGTTAACTGAGCGATTTGGTGGGGGGCTATTTTTTAGCCACTTAATGCTAAAGTTAACATTAACTTTTCAATGCCTCTATCCCTGTGCATAACAAGCGTTCCGGGGTTTCTTGCAGTGATTCAGTGGCAATTAATTTCTAAAATTACTTCGGTGTCCTGAGGGATGGATGTCCATCATGCTTTGGCAGAGATTTTGTGCTGCTGCCAAAGATGGTGGTTAGGCTGCATGATAAGCAGTATTCCTTACCCTTTGGTAAACAAATTTCAGGGGCACGTGGGTGGTAACCATTGTCAGCACTGGAGCTTGTTCCTGGAGTTACCTTTCAAAGTCAGCTGTCCCTTGGCCTCCAAATGTTTCCTCGTTTAAAAAACTAGAAACCTAAAGTTTTCAGTCTGTACATTCAGGTGCAGTCACCTAGGCAGCACTTAGCACAGTGAAGTGGTTGAAACTAATGTGGAGCTTTCCCCTAGTGGGGCAGGGAAAGCCTTTTTAATTACACCCCTGTCTGGTTCTACCTCATAGGTAGTCTTGGGATTTGCAGTTTTGACCATTTACTACGAAGTTGCAGTAGGTGGCACTCACGTCATAGTCTGGAAGACTGGGAGCATGGTGCTAAGGGAAAGGTTAAAAGCAAGAACAAGTCATAGTAGCCATAGAGCTTGGTGTGATGACTTTACACAAGAATGATTGTGATTGGACAGTTAGTGACTTCATCTGTTCTGAGATTTATCATGAACATTGCTTTACCTTTTTGGCCTTTGATTTTCCTTACTTGACAAGGTTTACACAAAAACTTTTGAACTCCCACTACTGGAGTGTAATAAGGGTACATTTTTTAAATCTCAAATTGGAACTCTTCAATGTGAGACCATGTACCAATTCAATTACAAGATATTCTCAATCTAAATGTAAAAGTGGCCTTATTGGTCAATCAATATTCAATAATGCTCAGAAAAACAGGCAAAAAAGATAAATGTAACTTAAATGAGGAAAGAAATGTAATCACCAGTAAAACTATTTTGGGTAGGGAACAATGCTAATTAAAGGTAATCAGGATTAAACTGAGGTATCTGTAGCCAGAAATGTTCCCATCAAATTATAAAAGCAGCAAAGGGAAGGGGGAACATAATTAAAACAAATATGAAAGTGAGTCCCCATTTGTTGAGTGAGTAAAGCTTGAAATTTTTCCAACAGATGTCTGTTTATATAGGTTTTCAGGAACAATCAGAGTTGGGTCACACTTTTTATCCAAGGTACAAAGGCTGAGACTTTTGTATAAACACCTGGTGAATCCTTCACTCCACAGCCGTATCCCCAGGAGGTCACTCCATACACAACCCAGTTCTGGCCTGGCCTTTCACACATGAGTGGTCCTCCGCTGTCTCCCTGGCAGCTGTCCACGCGTCTGTGGTCCTGGACATTTCCAGCACACAGCATCCTCCCTGTAAACCGGCCTTTGTAACGTTCTTCACAAAACCTCTTAGGAAGTAAGGGAATGGCAGCTTGCTGAAGAGTTCTTGAATAGGCGCGTCCTACTCAGACCAAATAATCTGAATTAGACTCCAACTGAAGGGTTCAGAGAATTAACAGTTTACTGAACACTAAGTCATCTTGGAAATAAACCCTACCGTGACAAGAGTAAAGTTTAAATGAGTGATAACTGAATTGCATATAACAATCATTAGCTGCCTTTTCTAATGTTTGCTCTTCTCACTGCCCTTTGCTAATCTGTTTATCAACACTATTTTTGTGACAGTAACTGAGTGACTCTTAAATACTATAAAGTTAACTAAAAAGTATATCTGTGCAAGTACTGTATTTCACTATGCTGAAAAGCTGAGGATGCACTCATGCTGGTTTTGCATTAACAGATCCATTCACTTAAGATTAATCTTCTCTTTGAGGTGAGAATTATAAATAATACTTATACATAAGCAGATAAAGCAGTAAACAGTAACAGGGTTATTTCATAAGGCTAATTGAGAAAGCACTCCTTATGTAGCCAGGCTTCATCTTCACCACCTCAAGCTACTACTGCAGTCAGTCATTCACTCTTGGTTTAATGGCTAAAATGTTTAATATACAATCCATGATGTCTTTTCCTTGGATTTAAATTCCACCATTATTCTCTGATCCTGCTTATTCAACTGGAATCCTCCATCCATAATAAAACATTCCGTAAAATTTACTTCATTGATCATTTCTATTACTGCAGATGTATCCCAAAGATGACTGAATCTTGCTTACTGAGGAAGTGTTCATAATTCTAACAGACTAGCCTCCTCAGAGACTACTGGCTTTGTGATCAGACTGTACACCAGGTATACACAGAATACTAAGGAGGCACTGACTGACCTGACTAGGAAACTTTTCCTTTTTTTCAGACTCTGTATCTGCTACAAATGTTCTCAACTTTGCTGCTAGCGGACAGTACAGAAGTTCAGATGTTATGTAGCATGGGATAAACACTGAAATTATTGTTTACTAAATGAAACCTTGCTGAGATAATGATCTCAAAATATCTGATGTTCTTCAAGAGTACAATTATTGGGGCAATCATTTCTTCATATTCGTGCGAATGAATGCTAGCTCTTTGGTTTCCAACACCATCCTGAGCAAAACAGCTGATGTCCATGCATTGAACTTTAGCAAGACGACAAAGCTGTGTTCCTCTATGAAAAGCGTAAGCTTAAACTAAACAATAAACTTTTGACTGGGGGGATGGAAGGTGGGAAAAATGGGGAGACACTGAGGAGAAACGAATGGATGGGGTCCCGTCACTTAATTCATCCATCTGTTCTGAATAGGAATTCTCCAAGAGAGAATTTGCTGTAGGGCTTCATGCAAAGAAAGAATCTATCAAACACTGAGCCCTTTGCAGGGTTTGCTACATCAAAATCAGTAGGGAAGCTTAAAAGAGAGACTGCCAGGCCCAAGTCTTGCAGTATGGCCTTCAAGTCTTCCTTTGTCTCCTCACTAGTCTAGGGAATGAGTAGAGGCATCTCTACCTCTTAAGTTCCCCGGGCACTTGGGTTGCCAGTTTGTGCTCAGGTTTTAATGGGAAGCAACAGTCCCTCAGGGATGTAAATCCAAATCACATCCACATGTCTAACGTTGGCAGCGTGTCCAAATAACTAAGCCCAAACTCCTTTAGACTTTACTACCCTCTATACACCCCAGATTGGAGAAGCGTGCAGACATCTGTTCCTGTGCCTTTGTATTACTTGCATTACCTGTGTCTCCCCAACCTGTGATGTAACAATTGGAGGCTGTTTTCTGAGGCCTCTCCCTCCAGAGTGGCAAACAGGCAGGCAGGACATGGCTGCTGAACCTGGCACATTGCTGCTCCGGTCCCTGCAGTCTCACCAGGGCGATGTCGTAGTCACTGCTGTCTGGTCTGTACTCCCGGTGAATCACAACCTGCTGAACTCCAATTTCTTCCTCATACTCCTCTGGCACCTGAGTATGATAATCCCCAACTCGAACAGCGTAGTTTTTAGTGCTGTTACCGTACCTGAGGGGCAGAGAGGACTCCTGAGAGGCTGGTTTTACATGTTGAGATGAGTCAGCTGGTTAATTATTCAGGAGGTTAACAGAGACACTATCGGCCTTTCCTGCAAATCACTGGACCCTTTTTTAAATTTAACCTTTGTTTCTTTGACCCCACTGGTCTCAGTTGTGTACTTAAGCTCACCACTTCCTTTCTTCATTTCAGTATTTTAACCCAGGTTACCATCTATCTTCTGGAAAAGCAGATTTGAAGGAAGGCTAATCGTTTTAGCCCCTGTCGTCAAGTGCAAAATAAACAAATCGTGTAGGGCAACATTACGGTCACTGCTGCCTTCATTTTTCTTTTAACACCACTGTCATGCAGACTATCGCATCTACTATTTATTAAATGTTTTATTCTCTATCTCCCCTGCTTGAATAAAAGGCATCATTATCTGTCCTGTTCACTGATGAATCTTAAAATACCTAGAACAATGAGGCCCTGTGAAGTAGGAATGTAGCTGATGTTTGTTGACTGAGTGAACAGATGTACACTTTTGTCTGTCTTCTTTCCTTTAGTAACTAGTTAAAATAGAATCAGTGTTCATCAGATTGATCACTGTCACTCTATTTTTCAGCCAACATATACCTTGATTCTGTACATATGTCTGGAGCAGAGTTTCTCAGCCTCAGCCCTACTGGGCCTAGACAAATCCTTCTCGCGAGGGGCTGTGGAGATGCTCTATGCATTACAGGAGGTTTAGAGGCATCCCCAGAGTCTATTCATTAGATGCCAGGAGTACAAATGCAACTATACGCGCGCGCATACACGCACACACACACTCATTATGATAAAAATGTCTCCAGACATTGCTACCTGCATTATGCAAATTGTCCTCGGTTGACATCCACTGACACAGAACGCATGGACCCACCTCCTGCCGGCCACTATATCTTTTCTCCCAGTGAAGCGCACCTTGCTCATCCCTGTTTCTATAACCTGCAATGTCAGTGACTTAAATTTCCAACCTTTCCATTTTGTTTCCCTAAGTCCTTGCCTGCAAATACTACACATTTCTGAATCTTTATATGGAGTAGTTCACCTTTATCCCTCCTGATTTCATAGTTTTACAGCTCTATAATCCTTCATCCCATCTGTACTTCAAACTTTTGAACCCCACTCATTGTTTTTGTTTTTGTTTTGTTTTCAGCTCAATCTAACTACTATAACTTCCCCTTCTTACAAATCTTGGGTCACAATCACTCTTTTGCAAAAAATAATCTTTCTTTTATCTGGTGAAACTAATTCTGGATTCATCCACTCACTGCCTATTTGGGGCTACTATTTCACTGCTGGAATAGAAAAACATTTAACAATACTCTCCTTAACTTCCCCCTCCTGTATGATAACACCATCACAAAAGTTTCTGTTTCATTAAAATAAATCCCTAAAGCACATCTACTGTTATGGTTCATGCTGGTTGTGAACCAGCATGAAAAGTACCTGTAGTACTTTTAAAAATACAAATGTCCAGGTGACACAGTTTCATAACTAAATTAATAAATTACATTAGTAAATTAAACGAAGAGGGCTCATGTAGAACCATAGGTGATTCAAATTCACAGGCTTGACAACCACCACCCCAAAGCCTCCAAAAGGCATGTTCATTCTCCCCTTCCCTGCTGGGAATTTCACTGGGTGAAGTAGGGAGCACCTTGATGAGCAGTCAGTAACAATAGGAAAAGTCAAGAACATTCCATTCTAAGGCTTTGTTCCCAGCTCAAGTCGATTTGGGTGGCTATTTTCAAGGATAACCCACAATGAGTATTCTCGCCAACCATGTTCATATTAAACTGAGAATAATATATTTTTTTAAAAATAAAGTATTTCCCTGACAACAAGAAAAGGAGCACATTCTCATCAAAAGAAAGGTCCTTATTAGCACCTATCTCTTAAAAGTTGTCTCAGCTAATCCAAGCGGTGGTTCCCACACTACTCTCAATCCAGTTATTCTGAAATAGATTTTATACCTGAAAATTTGAAGAGCATGTGACACAGACAGGATTATTTTTCCACCAAAGCATTTGTCCATCGCCTCTCCTGGCAGTGCGATTACATGCCTCAGGGATAACACTTTGGCTGTGGTTCCCAATATCATTGTAGACTATAAAAATATTTATGACAGTGCTAGGCTTCTCAAAAAACAATGAAGAAATCTTCTTTCCAGTTTACTTTAAGATCTTTCTAATAGAACCTTTGTTATTTTGATAGACTTTATTATACTGAGAAAAGCTTCTAAAAAATTTCCTGTTTTGGCTTGGCACACCATTTGGTTGTTTGCTTTGCTAAAATGCCTTCAACTCCCCCTCAAGTAAAAATGTGATGAAATTCCCAGACAAGCTTGACATGTAGAGGTTCTGGGACATGGCCGTTTAGGAAAATCCAAGATCCCAGTTTCTCTGAGATTCCAGCGCTAAACCACCACATAGATTCAGCACTTTCAAAAGATAATGTTGTACTCCAGCTTGTGCACATCTGCTGCTGCTATAATCTGTTTTTCTCTGTTGTTTGGATTAAATTCAAAAAGGGCCTGACTGACTTGCTTCTAAGTGGTTGACTAAAATAGCTTATGTAAATGGTTCTAATTGCTTGGGAAAAAATAACCTATGTGGTGGAAGCTTGCACTATTTCACACTCTCACACACAGCATAAAGGGTGTGTGTGTGTGTGTGTTCAAGAACTTCTTTGGGCATGACTGATAGGATTTTATATATATATAAAATATATGTGTGTATGTGTATATATATAATATACATATATTTATATATGTAAATATATATACATGTACACACACACACACACACACATATATAAATCAACAAGACCATGTTCTTAAGAATTCCACATAATAGAGCATATGTTAAACACCTCAAATACTGTATTCTTCAAAAACAAATGCCATTACTCTGTGGCTCATCTAATTATAATATTAAGATCTAAACATTTCTGATTTTCAAAGCAACAATCTTTGATAATTTTCTGCTGCTCTGTCATTTCTAGGCTATACTTTTTTTTTTTTAAGATTTATTTATTTATGCTTCTAGAACTGGGGTATAGGCCAGAGGTGCAGGGGTGGTGAGAAGATTCAACAGAGACAGAGAGGGAAGCAGAACAGGCAGATGGATGAAGTACACTGCTGAGGGAAGCAGTGGGCTGGTCAGGAGAGGTCTGCCATGCCATATGGGTCATCTCCGGGGCTGGGAATCGAACTAACACAGAAATGGCTGAGGCCAACTTGCAGTGTTGTGCCCTAACCCATTGTGCCACCAGAGAGGGTCATCTAGGCTATACTCTTGAACAAATTCAATTTGCAGGAGAATTACAAAATAAGCCAATCTTTCCTCCAAAATACTATTTGTTATCAGGATAAGCAATTAAAAGGAATTAGTTTAATTCTCAAGAACTTTTCTCTCACTTATATTGCTGTACAGGCACAGGGAGAGGGTCATTTTCTGATACCTGTGGCTGTGATTTAGAATAGAAAATAGCCAAAGCCAGACATTTATTGTGCAAGATTCACAGGACAAGTTCAAGAAAACAGTCGAGTTTCCATTGCAAACTGCCAACAGGATGCTGCATTCCAAAGTCTGCGTTATATTAACAGTGAGTGGGGGGGGGAAAGTTCAACTGAAGACCTTTAAATAGCCATTCACAACTGCCTCAGTTATGTGTGTTACACTGGCAGGAGAGTGCTTTGGAACTTCACAGTATGTGAAAGCTATGCACAAATCAGAGTGGGACACTAGAGTCCTGTCAGCCTTCCAGTCAGATTCCTTGATCATGTATAGAAGGCTGTGCATGAAGTAAGGGTAGCTGAGGGTGGTGGAGCTCAAGTTAACTGCATTCTGGTCTCTCCTGCCGAGGTCATCATTCCTAAGTTATTCGGATATGGAGAACTGGATTGGGTTGTCAGAGAAGTCATGATGTATTTTTTTCTGGGCTTTTTTTTTTTTTTTTTTGTGATAACCCAATATAAAAAGGTAACTAGTCAGTGAAGATAAATAAAACAAGCAAAATACTGTCATCCCATAGAAGAAAATACCACAGATAGTAATAGCAATCTATTGTTATTCAGAAGTGACTGCTCAAGAGCTCTAGCCGGTATATCACTGTAAGGATTATACACTAATCCTTAGGTCCAGTGAACATACATTGTACATACTTAAGTAACAAAGAGGCAAACAGAAAGATTTCCTTCCAAATATGATGTCTAGGTCCCCTGCCAGAGGACTCTAAGTTAGCCTCCCATGACAGCTACAAGACAGAGTCTATCATGGTTCTGCACTACAATCTCTATGATTCCAGATAAAATCTATTTTTGCAAACTTCAGCGTCCTTGGTGATTAACTGATAGTTGTTTTAAACCAAAGTCCCTGAACCAAGGGAAAAAAAAAAATGGGAGCTTGTTCTAATCAGGGGTAACTGTCCCTATGCATTTCAACAAAACGACTACAATAAATATATGAGTTAGAGCCTCTTGAGGCATTTCTAAACAGGAAGTCTATAAAGTCGGGTAAAGGTTACAGACCAAGTAAAATGGATGCATGACACATTTGCAAAACAATCTTTATCCTCCTCAAATTAGTAGAGTTTGACATAGACCCAAAGCAACACCAAAATGCTGCATATCATAATCTGCATCTCTATGTTTTAATCAACTGTCTTTCTCTTATGCTGTACAGATAATGAGAAGAAATCCAAAACGACATATGGAAAGAGTTGTTGACCTAAGGTGAAAAATGCCACCATCCTCTAAAGAGTCCAAATACCTACAGTATACCACTCTACTAGATGCCACTCTCTGGCAATCTAGTCCTACTTTCATCATGCAGCAATCACTTAGGAATATCAACTATGTTCCAAGTCATATACTAGACACTTGGTTTATAAACACAAAGGAGATGATTACTGATTTTAAGCAATAACTGAGCAGGGCCAGGTCAAAGGACATGTAAACAAATAAATCCAAGCAAAAAAGACCTTTCAGAGAACCCAAAAGTTGGATCAAAGTTTTCTACTGCAAGTGGAATGTGGAATTTGTGGCAATCTCCCTCCTTCAATATCTTAATCCTTGAACTTTTAAGACCATATATTTAAGCACAGACTTGAAAAACAGAGCCTTAAACATGGTAAGGACAATCTAATCTATAAGGACCTACTGAATTATTTTGCCTGAGCTCTGAGCCCCAGGACAGATCTCTGCCATTTCTTACCTCAGTCTTCTCCATGGGTGAGTAGAACTCAAGATTCCTGACTTTTGCCAGTAATAATCTTTAACTCCATGTTTTCCAACTCCAACATAGTAACAGCCACGTCTTTGGGGGCTTTTACACTTTATCAGTTACTTTCGCATACACCTCTGTGAAACATCTCTGCCTTCCTCTTACAAGTGGAAAAAACTGAAACCCTTAGACATTCAATAACTTCTACCTAGTTAACTAATACACAATTGGCAGAAGCTAGTACTATAACCCTGGTTGGGAGGGCAAATCTATGCTTCCTGTTAAACAGCACAAAGTGCTGACTCCCACCATAGCACCCCTGCTTTCTCGCCCTCCTTTTCTTTCCACATTATAAACCCCCCTCTTCCTCTAGTTCCTCCCACAGTGGATCTAATCACTGGATAAAAAGGCCAATTTCAGCCACTCCAGGAAAAGGTATATAAGCATATAACCAAAGAGCTTTCATGTAATGTGAAGTGCGTTCACAGACCCCCTAGATTCACCAATGTACTTGATCCCCTCAACCTAACCCACACATCCCCTAATGGCTCATCTCCTAAAACTACTCTTTGATTAGATGTCAAGGCTCAAAGAATTTCATGATTTCCGACCCCTAGTAAATGAGCAGACACTCATTCCCCTTGGGCCCTAGTCCTTCCTGCTTGTGAGTCTAGCACACAAATTCCAGATCGCTACTCTAGCTGACAGCAGCCATTCTTCCAGTATGGCTGGCTCAGTTTTCCCTCCTCTGCTCTAAATCAGGCATCATTTACCGCCAGCTTGACTAATACAGTCTTTCTGAACAGACCTCACAACAGAGCTCTCTTCCTCCCACATACAGGCTATTTTGTCTTCCATAATCCTACTATTCAAGAAGTAAACATTAAACACAACACAAAAACCCTCTTCCTTGTGTTAAAAGGAAAAGCACCCGAACTTTCCGTAACACCCGTGACTCCACATGCTGTCCCCTGGCTGCTTGTCTTCCTGAGTGGACCGTGTTCCTGCCACATCCAGACTGCAGTACAGTTCTGTCTGCTTGAGAGTGACAGTGACTTTGTCCCCAGCAATAGCCAAGCACAAGAAAACAGAAGAGCCAGCTCTTTGCTGCTTTGTCTGAACAGTGCTCTGTCGGTGCTGCCCAACACTCACTAACTTCGTGGGCAATCACATGGAAGTGGAAGGATGCCTCTGGCTGTGAGGCCTTTTTCACTTGTGCTGCATTTAGTCATATTTCCTGGAACCAAAGCATTTTACGTTGACCTTATTCCATATTACTTGCCAGAATCAGCCCATGAAGTTTCTCGGCCATTGTGGATTCTATCTTCCAGCACATTACTTGTCTTCCCAATCCCCAGGGATCCAAAAATGTGATTAATTTGCCATCAGTGTCCTTTTCCAGTGAAGTGATTAACATGTTGATAGGCCAAGGATAAGTGTCCCATCAACCCCATTACATTCTTATCATCATTCTTCAAATGTCCAGACCACATTTTATTCTCTCCACTCAGTAAATGGATCTGAACCTTTAATGTACATCAGACTCATCTGAGATTCTTGGCTGGAATACAGACTCCTGGGTCTCAACTCCACAGACTTCAGGAGCTATGGAAAAAGGGCCCCAACACTGGATTTAGAAGCTAAATGCATCTAATATTGTGGTGAAAACTCACCACAACACAGTGCCCGAGGTCCTTTTTTCCCCACTTTTTTCATGTCTCTCCTCTGGGATCTTCTAGCTACAGACAACTCATGGATAACACGGTTTCTGACTGGTTCTGTACTATATCTTTAGTGGATCTAACATTCTTTGGAAAACTAGAGGCGGGACAATTGTTTGTTGTTATGAAGGAATATTATCTTCATGATCACCACTCAGTGATCATGCCAATACATGAATACATTAAACCCACTACTCTAGAGGTGAACTCTCAAACTCCATGATTATCCCAGAAACGTCAACGGCTATGTAAAATTTAGGTTTCTATCTTCTGTTGCACCACAAATATGAACGATTAGACAAGAGGAAATGAACAGAGATCCCATAAACAGAGATACATGAGAACTGGCAAGACAAAGGTGACAAAAAATAGTGAAGAAACATGGAATGTTCAGTAAAAGTGCAGGGGAAACTATCCATCCAATAAAAGCAATTTGGTCCCTGCCTTGTGCCATCTACAAAAATAAACAGTAAACAGATTAAAAACATAAATATAGGAAAAAATATATTACCAAAAAAATTAAGATCTTCATTATGTAGAGCTAGGAAGGTATTTTTAAAATAAGGTACACAAATTTTTATAAAACCTTTAAGGGAAAAAAACATTTAAATATTACAAAGCTTAAAAATAAATCTTCCTAAGAAAAAAAACCCTAACAAGTAAAAGGGCATGTCCAAAAATAAGGAAAAGGTAATTATAACACATAACAAAAAAATACTTTGTACACAAATATATCTAAACTTTTTTTTTTAAGATTTATTTATTTGTGCATACAGAACTGGGGTACAGTCCAGAGGCTCAGGGGCGGTGAGAGGTTTCACCATACACAGAGTGGGGAGCAGAACAGACAGATCAATGAAGTACACTGCTGAGGGAAGCAGCAGGCGGGTCAGGAGAGGTCTGCTGCGCCATGTGGTCACCTCCGGGGCAGGCGGGAATCGAACTCATGCGGAAGTGGCTTTAGTTTCTCAGTGCTGTGCTTTAACCTGCTGCGCCACCAGGTAGGGCCAATATATCTAAACTTTTAAAGTCAATATGAAAATAGGATCCAATAGAAAATCAGAAAGGATATGAACAAAGAATTCATCACAGAGGAAGATATTAATGAAGACACTGGAATTAAAAAATATATCCAAAATCCTAACATCGGCAAAAATTTTAAATGTTGAGGTGTTGATGTGAGACAATAGAAGTGTACATGTTGCTGTGTTGTCAACCAAAAGCAAGACTTTAGGAAGTTAACTTACCTGGTGTAACCGAAAGACACCCGTATTTCAGCAAAATGTATCCAGTAGATGTACTCAATGAGACCTGACACAGAAATCTACTGCAGCTCTGCTCTTAGGACACTGAAAGAGTGGAGACCACATAGCTAGCTGCCAGTAAGGAAATGAGGAAACTCTGGTGCAGTCATCTATGAGGACTTGAAGTTCTTAGGATGGTTAAAGCCAATGACTCTTGTGGGTAGATTACAAATCTACTACAGGGTCAATGTGCTATGACATGAAAAAAAAAATTCTGCTTGGAAGAATTTTCAGAAAACATATTTTATTAAAAATGTGGTATTGGGCCCTCCCTGGTGGCGCAGCAGGTTAAAGCATAGCACTAAGAAGCTTAAGCCACTTCCACATGAGTTTGATCCCCGCCTGCCCTGAAGGTGACCACATGGCACAGCAGACCTCTCCTGACCCGCTGCTCCCCTCAGCAGTGTTCCTCGTCACTCTGCCTGTTCTGCTCCCCACTCTGTCCCTGGTGAATCCTCTCACCCTCCGCATCTCTGGCCTGTACCCCAGTTCTGTATGAATAAATAAATAAATCTTTAATAAAAAAAAAATGTGGCATCATGACCACTTTAAAATACATAGAATTGCAACAATAGGGTGAAATTCCTAGTACCATGACCTTGCTTCAATGATTATCTAGGTTTTGTCAAGGTCAGTGCATATTTCAAACACCAAAAATCATGATGAGGAAGCCCCAGAAAAAGAGCAGGACCAGGAGGAAAGCCAGACTCCACGCAGGCCCCATGCTGTGAGCACTGTGCCTGTGCAGCCTCCCTCTGACCTGGGAAGACTTCGGGCCGATGGGCAAAATGTGCAGGCAAAAGGAAATTATCAGGAATGCAGCCTTTCTAGCAGGGACAGAGAAATCTAAATGAAAAAGCCATCTGCAAGACCCAAGGAGCAAAAAGTCTACAGCTGGACCCTCTACTGTTCAGCATTCACTATTAGAGAAGGGGTCTTCTTCTAGCTCCCAGGGAATATGACTGCCTCAGAGAGGTTCTTGGGTGAAGTACTAACATACTTCCTGCCCTTCCTCCCAACATGCATCTCCTCTTCTCCCTAGATTTAGAGTTCACCTCGACACCAGTGTAGAAGCGGTTTCCTGGGGGCTTTCTTTGCTCTTTATGAGACCTATCTTACATATCCTCCCACACCTCCACCATGCCACTGGCATAGAACAAGAGGTCTACTAGATCCTGGTTCTGACACCCCAGATTTCTAGTGGCTGTAGAGCGGGAAAGGATTGGAACAACTGGCAAATGAGTTGCAAGCAGGTTGTCTGGAAGAATGCACACGTACCTCTTGAAGCAATGTGCTGCCGTGAGGACCCAGCAGCTGCTCAGAAGCGTGGCCCCACAAAGGAGCCGGCCATCCCCATGGGAGGACTTCAATCGGAGGGACACCTGCCAAGGCCAGCCACCCCTAGGAAGAAAGGGAGGCACACAACCACATTTAAAGACAGAAAAGCAACACAAGCACTTATTAAAACAGTGATAAAGGGCTCTCCCTGGTGGCGCAGCGGGTTAAAGCACAGCACTGAGAAGCTAAAGCCGCTTCCACATGAGTTCGATCCCCGCCTGCCCCGGAGGTGACCACATGGCGCGGCAGACCTCTCCTGACCCGCCCACTGCTCCCCTCAGCAGTGTACTTCGTCGATCTGCCTGTTCTGCTCCCCACTCTGTCTCTGGTGAATCCTCACCCTCCACATCTCTGGCCTGCACCCCAGTTCTGTATGAATAAATAAATCTTAAAAAAAAAAAAACAGTGATAAAGACTTCTGGGTGAGGAAATAGGAGCATAAAAGAGACCCCCAGGACACAAGATCCCTTCCTACGTGCAGAGGGGTGCCCCTCTACCTCTGAGCTGACACCCTAGAGATGTGCATACAGGCACTTATAAGCAGCTCCTCTCTTAGACATTCTTAGAAGCAGGTTGAGGCTTCTTTCTATTTCATGCCTTAAAGTGTGTTTTCTCTCTCCTCCTTCTTCTACCTCACCTAAGCAGCCTATAGTATTTAGTAAGCAAAGCACAGGTTTCCCAGTAGAAAACAACAAACAATAAAATTCTATGAAACAAACAATAAAATTCCATGAAAAAGAGCCAAGCCTGAAACATATTCTTTGTAAGTGACACATTATTTTCAAGTCTTCTGTTGAATATTTTGTTTCCGCCTTGTAGCTTCCCTGCAACACGCTTATCATGTAAATCGGGGTGATGACAGAAGAACCAAGTCTAGATAAAGTGAATGGAGGTCAAAGAATAGTGAAATTATCAATGTATTCTGTATTTAACTCCAAAATATCACTTATTCGGAAATAAGGGGAGTAAAACAAATCCCTTTGTAATAGTAGAAAGTTCCCCAATGTCTAAAGCTGTATGCCTATCATTCTGTAATATGGAAAATCTCTTCCGAAGACCCTTTACCTTAAGGAATTTTTCCCACCAATGATCCGCTTCTGCCGCCGGTGCAGTAATCGCAAACCACAAACCGAGGAGAGGGACTCTGAAGCAGAAAGAGCTCATTAATTAAACTGTCATATTGCCAGGAGGGATAAAGACAAGAGTGATAAAGATGCCTTTTCTCTTCAAATTATAGGACATGTTTTCATATAATAAAAATAAAAAGTCGTTTTCTCATTTGATCAAGGTAATAAAACTTGCAAGCCTGCAGGGGGTTTTGGGGTTTCCCAAATTCAGTTCTGAAGGGGCTCCCCACACTGCTGCTGGGTGACTTGATGATATCCAGCACATGATTTTTTAAGTACCTACACCTTGACCTCTGCTGACGGATTACAGAGCTTGCCTTGGAGTTCAGGAACATTAAACAAGACGAGAGATCTGCCAGTGCAGTAACAGGTTAAATCACCTGCTTTTCACATACCTCACTCCTCCAAGCTATATATACTATTGTAACTCAGAGGGGCAAAGTAAATTAACAGATGGATTTCTGATCTGGACTTACATTTGCTCACATTAAATATTAATCTATGGAAGGACTTTGCTAAGCCAAGTTAAGCATCAAACTGTATTTAATGGTATGGAGTCAAGTCTCCCCAAGGTAACAGGCTTCTGTCAAGAGCATAAAAAGAGAAGAGTCAAATGTAAAATAATACAAGAAAGGTGATGTACAAAAGAAGGATAAACATAACGAGGCACAGCTTGTTTTCCAAAATCATATGGAAGGGGTCATTTTATTGGGTTATTTTCTTTCATTTATTAAGATACAAATAAGTATAGATATGCACCAGTTTTTGATCTGTAAAAAGAAAGCATGGATTAGTGACAAGAGAATGCAACCCTAGCCAGTATTCATGGTCTCTGACAATAATCAGGTAGTCCAGGCCCAGAGGGGAATCAGCACTTGTTATGTTTTGATGGAGAAAGAGGATTTGCATTGTGTAGCAAGCTAATTAATTTGCCAAATGACCTCAGACCTATGCTGTCAAACCTGAGCCTCCTTTGTTAGGACAGCAGAGCTCTAGATGACACTGTAAATCATAAAAAATTATAAAGCACACGTTTTCAATAATGTCCCAAGTCAGATTACTGTATATAATGCCAAGACAAGGGATGATGTAATATCAAACAAGCCAAACTTAAAGATTACATCACTCAGGGGAGTAGTGCCGATTTCAGGAAGGTAGAGTCTATTTCAAGCCACAAAATCACTGTCATAAAAAGATTAAAGAACAAAATTAATTTTATTTATGAAAGGATCTCAGCACATGACCAAGAACCAGTGGCTTGAGTTTTAATTACTTTAATGAAGTTAGGAGTTCTTAAGTCTCAGCTAAAGGTAAGTAAGCCAGATTCTGTAATCCAGCTGGTCTGAAATGAAATGTCTGAACTTGAGGAATGATAGCAAGAAAACCATGGAAATATATCAAAATAAGTCTCGCTACAACTGTAGGAACTCATAATAACAAGTGTGCAAACAATCTATGGCATTTCATATGTTAGAATAGATTCACAACGATACAGAATAAAACGTTTTATGTTTTCTACTGGTGAAGCTGACATACTTCAAAGAATGTAACTGTAGTTTAAATTATTGAAATTTACACAATATATACAAATTAAATTGTAACCAACTTTTACAAAACATTAAATGACCAAAATACCTAACACATAAATAATAATATATGTTAAGTAACATAAAGATAATAAATCCACAACATATGTAAAAGAAAGACATAAACAAAACATAAGGATTATAAAGTGTTCTATGTATTCAAAAATCCCTCAAAAATGAAGAGTAATCACATGAAATTTATTTCTATTATCTTTATTAAAAGAGGTTAGACAAAGTGCATGCTCCAATGTAAATGCACATGATTATAAGAAAATCCAGTGTACCAAAACTGTGACCTTACAACTCACAGAAACAGGAGATTGTTCCTTTTGTAAAATATAACCACACTTTTCTCCAAAATATCTAGTTTTTCTCACTTATTTAAGGCAGTACTGATATCATAAAGAACTCAGAGCTTTCAAGAACTCTATTTACCTAACCACAAGACATCTGTTACTGTAGCACACAAATTATACTAAGACATTCTTCTCATTTCCTTATGCTTTTAAATTTCAAAGGATAAAATGTTCAAAAGATAAGTTTTGCTTTTGCAATTAATTAAAAAAGAATTTCCCTGTTATTTAAAATACTAGTAAGACAAGGAATACCTTTCTGTGCCAATCTTTCCCTTTCCTCCTTTTTATGAAAGAACAAATTTTCAAGGACACCAAATTTGAAAATTTTATTACATGCATAAAAGAAATGGCTTCAAAATGATTGAGATTATCGAAAGGGTGTCACTCCAGAGATTATAAAGCCTTGGAAATCCACCCCTTCCCCTGAGCCCTGTGGTCCCAGTAAGCACTCTCAGGCAAGTTCGTCCAGCACCACTGCCTCTGCATACTAGCACAGGGGAAAGGGATTCTGTAATTCTTGTGAAGAGGATTTTTGTTAGCAAAGTATTGTTTATAGAAATGAGCTATGGATCAATGGTATTTCACCTGTGTACGGCCTCAAAAGAGCACCTACCTTTATTACTGTTACCTGATGCTTTCTTGCTCACATAGTCACAAATAACTCCTGCATCTTCACTGTGACGGCAGTTGTGTTTTCCAATATCTTGTTTGATACAGTCAGCCAGGGACCTCTCACTTCCTGTGCATTTCACATTATCTACATGGATCGGTCCTTTTCCTTCCCCAAAATAAGCCATGGTTCTTGCTCTGGCAGGACCCCTGGAAACACAGCATTCTTGTGGGTGTGGGGATTCAATCACATGTGAGTAAGTCACGACATATATTCTCAGTCAATTGTATATTGTCACTTTTATATGTTAAAATCAGCATCTATATGAACTGCAAGAAGCTTCAGAGAGCTTAACTACACCGTCTTTGTTTTCACACCCCAGCTTCTGTATTACATCAGTTGCCTTTAAGACAGCTGTTGCACAGCCAGCCACATTTACTGGCACATCAAAGAACTGTGATAGTCTCAAACCTTAGTTTTAAGCATGAAATCTCTTAATTTTATATTCTTTTACAGAGAGTAATTCTCTCTTAAAATTGATACATTAAATATATATTTCATAAATAATTACCTAGGGAGTTAAGAACTAATTTTTTGCCTCCTTTAAAGTATACAAGTACAATTTTGAACAGAGAAATAAAAAACAGGAATCATGAATAAAAGGCAGACTTTGTTTGGTATGGTACTTTTTTAAATAACGTATCACTTTTCAAAAATTTCAGATACTGGCCCTCTCTGGTGGCGCAGCGGGTTAAAGCACTGCATTAAGAAAGCTTAAGCCATTTCTGCATGAGTTCAATCCCCCCTGCCCCAGAGGTGACCACATGGCGCGGCAGACCTCTCCTGACCCACCCGCTGCTCCCTTCAGCAGTGTATTTCTTCCATCTGCCTGTTCTGCTCCCCACTCTGTCCCTGGTGAATCCTCTCACCCTCCGCATCTCTGGCCTGTACCCCAGTCCTGTATGAATAAATAAATAAATCTTAAAAAAAAATTCAGATACTAAGGTTTTCATGAAATATTTCAAACTAACAAATTCAAAACTCAATAACTGATCAATTAATTACATAATTATGAAAGGTAAAAATTTCAAAGTTTGAATCACAGGAATTGTTTTCTTATAATTAAATAGCCAGAGATGAAGGAAAATTTTATAAATATATATTTAAGATAAAAAATCATAACACAGATGGTATACCTTAATTAAAATACTATTAATTTCAACCAAAATTTAAATTAAGAATCCACTTTACTGAAATACCACCCTAAGGAAAGTGAAAAGATAAACATCAAAGTTGATGAACACATTTGCAATAGATAATGTCAAATATTTATTGGTATAGATGTTTTTTCTTTTTTTTTCAAAGATTTACTTATTTATGCATATAAGAACTGGGGTACAGGCCAGAGATTGGGGCGGGGGGGGGGTGAGAGGATTCACCAGAGACAGAGTGGGGAGCAGAGCAGACAGATTGACTGAAATACACTGCTGAGGGGAGCAGCAGACGAGTCCGGAGAGGTCAGCTATACCGTGTGGGTCACCCCCCTGGTTGGAGATCGAATTTGTGCTGCAGAGGCTGAAGACAGCTTCATAGTGCTACACTTTAGCCCACTGAGCCACCAGGGAGGGCCTGGTTTAGATTAGATGTATTTTCTAAGAGAGAAGACTAGAAAATAATATACAAAGAATTTTCAACATTTGTTTAAAGAATGTAAGATTCAACAATGCAAAAAAAAAAAAAAAAACAGGCAAAAGACTGCTAAAGGCATTTATACAATTATACAATGAAGTACCCAAGGCCAATAAGCAAATGAAAATAAGCTCGGTCCCCATTAATAATCTGAGATAAGTAATAACATTAGTACTGACTAAATCAGCACCTATTGAAAGAAAAATGAACATCTCTGCAGTTGAAAATGTGTATCAGTGTAGCATCCTGGGGAAGCAGCCTTGCAACATTTGATGAGCTGAATGTGTCCACTCCTGCAAGTTAGTAGTTCTACTTTTGATCATATTCCCTACAAAAATTCTTGTACAGATGCACCAGCAAGAGAGGTTAAAGACTGTTCACATAGTACAACTAGAAATTATATAAAAAACCTAACAACAATATAATATATTCATAATTGTAATCTTATTCATAATTAGTATTTAAGTGACTACATGATACAGCAGAATGAACAGTGAGCTTCAGCAAAGGTATAACCTGGAATCTCAAAAGCTACGCTAAGGAAAAACAGCAAGTAACTAAAGAAAACCTAAAATATGCCTGTTTACATTCTAAAAGAGATTTCAAAACAGAGCAAATTATTGTTTAAGATCATACCAGTTCCAGAACAGTATCATATTGAAACACAAAGTTCACATAGAATGGAATGTCCCATCAGTTATAGAGTCTGTCTTAATGTCATTGAGAAGACTCTTATCCTAAGTTGTTTGTGTTGATTCTACAAGCAAATATTTGTAATAATTCAAAGCATATCTGGAGGAAAAGGTCCCCTACCCTAGTCTCATATCTGTTTATAAATTACAGATGTTCTTTTTTTAAATTAAGATAATGTTCGTTTATAACACTAAATGATTTAGGGTATCGGTTCACCCCTCTTCAGATTGATTACATGTACTTTCATGAAATTACAAGAAAACATTCAAATGTATTTAAATTGATCAAATATTTAAATGCTTCTCATTCAAAAACTATTTTGATGGCAAATTACAGACTGTGCACTAGAAGATAATTATCCAATTTGCTGTAATGACTTTAACTTACTGATCTACTTCTTAAAAAACTATTTAAAAAGCAGTTACAAAGTAAGATATTTGAATTTTTTTTTTGATAATCATGTCAGGAATATTAATGAATATTGCTGAAAATTGCCACAAACTAAGTTGATCATGCAAAGTAAAATATAAAGTGGATAAATAATGATACATCAAAAGTGATAAAAATGTAGAAATTTTGGCTCTCCCTGGTGGCGCAGTGGGTTAAAGCACTGCACTGAGAAACTAAAGCCACCTCCCATGAGTTCGATTCCCGCCTGCCCCGGAGGCGACCACATGGCGAGGCAGACCTCTCCGGACCCGCCCGCTGCTCCCCTCAGCAGTGTACTTCGGCGATCTGCCTGTTCTGCTCCCCACTCTGTCTCTGGTGAATTCTCTCACCCTCCGCATCTCTGGCCTGTACCCAGTTCTGTACGAATAAATAAATAAATTTTTAAAAAAAATGTAGAAATTTCACAGATATGCTTAGGAAATTTTTCTCCCCTTAAGCATGATGCAACCATGCAATTCAAGCATCAGATTTGATGTTTCCATTCATATTTACAAAGGGAATCAATCACCCATATCAAAAAATAAAAGTATGGCCGGGCCCTCCCTGGTGGCGCAGCGGGTTAAAGCACAGCACTGAGAATCTAAAGCCGCTTCCACATGAGTTCGATTCCCGCCTGCCCTGGAGGAGATCCACATGGCGCGGCAGACCTCTCCTGACCCGCCCGCTGCTCCCCTCAGCAGTGGACTTGGCGATCTGCCTGTTCTGCTCCCCACTCTGTCTCTGGTGAACTCTCTCACCCTCCGCATCTCTGGCCTGTACCCCAGTTCTGTATGAATAAATAAATCTTAAAAAAAAAAAATAAAAAAAATAAAAGTATGGCCAAAATCCATCTTAAAAAGGAATATACTATGATGGCTGATTTTGGATAAGGCAATTCACTGAAAATGTAAAAACATTTTTTTTTTTTTTTTTTTTTTACAAATAGAGTGGAGCAGTAAACATGTAGTAAGGAAAGGAAACTTAAGTCATTGACTGAGTTCACCTAGTCATCTAATGTGGCCTCCTTGCCCTACCAGCCCCTATTCTGAAAGCTGAAAAGTTCTATCATAAACAATGGACCCACTGACAACATAGCAATTGGCACAAAACTAACAAGTGAACTGAAGTATATCGTGCCCAAGTAATCTAAAAGAAACCCTTAGAAAAACATTTGCACTGCTATTAAGATAAAAATACACTGAAAAACAAAATTTTTCTATGTGGGAATAACCAATTACATTTATCATTGTTTATGTGCAAATAATAATTTATGGCACTTTTTTTATCTTTTTTTTTATTGTGGTATTTATCTTTGAGGCATATGCCTCTTGTGACACATTTTTAAATTCAAACCACTATTAGTACTTCTACAAGCCAGGCAATTTATATGCATTAGCTTACATTTGCTCACCCTCTAAACTATAACATGTGCTATCTCTTTGCAACTCCTAAATCAATCCTTACAGAAGTTTTGTGCAGACAGGCACACAGCCTCCTCAAGAAATCCGAGTTTTCTGGCTGAGATCTCACAGGAGATGATGGGCCTTTTCATTTAACTCTCAAACTGTAAACAAGTATCCTTTCTCAGCGAGTTAGTGCTATACTTTTTATACTATTACTCATGCGCCAAAGAAGTTTATCTAACATGGCATTGTTTCCATAAGGTGACAGTGAAATGATCAACAAAAGTGCAAAAAAATAAATAAACGACACAAAGTAGCCTGCGAAGAGACAAGTGTTTGCAAGTATTAAACTAAAATGGGGCAGAGAAAAGATCCTTTGGTTCAACCTCAGCTCCAGCAGCAATGGCATGACACTTGCTAATTCGGTGTTCAGAGTGACTTTACAGAGCATTAACTATCCTGAATAAAGAAAACCTGGCCCTCCCTGGTGGCGCAGCGGGTAAAAGCACAGCACTGAGAAGCTAAAGCCACTTCCACATGAGTTTGATTCCCGCCTGCCTGCCCCGGAGGAGATCCACATGGCTGGCAGACCTCTCCTGACCTGCCCGCTGCTCCCCTCAGCAGTGTACCTCATCAATCTGCCTGTTCTGCTCCCCACTCTGTTTCTGGTGAAGCCTCTCACCGCCCCTGAGCCTCTGGCCTGTACCCCACTCTGTATGCACAAATAAATAAATCTTTAAAAAAAAAGAAAGAAAGAAAGAAAGAAAACCACCTACACCACAGAGAAAAAGTTAACACTGTTGGCTGACAGAAGCAGTATCATGAACAGTCAAGAATTTTGAGACAATTTTATCATTAAATAAATACTACATTAAATAAATCTTTAAAAAAAAAAAAGAAAGAAAGAAAGAAAGAAAGAAAACCACCTACACCACAGAGAAAAAGTTAACACTGTTGGCTGACAGAAGCAGTATCATGAACAGTCAAGAATTTTGAGACAATTTTATCATTAAATAAATACTACATTACTTATGAGACATGAATATTCCTTGAGAGAAGAAAAAAATTTAAATAAATGCAATTTAGTATTATTTACAATTCTAAATGAAATCAGCATGCTGCCAGTATTTTCAATGGGATGATATAGTTAATTTCGGGTTAAAAAAAAAAATTCATGGCCCTCCCTGGTGGCGCAGCAGGTTAAAGCACTGCATTGAGAAGCTAAAGCCACTTCCCCATGAGTTCGATTCCCGCCTGCCCCGAGGTGACCACATGGCGCAGCAGACCTCTCCTGGCCCGCCTGCTGCTCCCCTCAGCAGTGTACTTCGTCAGTCTGCGTGTTCTGCTCCCTACTCTGTCTCTGGTGAAGCTTCTCACCGCCCCTGAGCCTCTGGCCTGCACCCCAGTTCTGTATGTACAAATAAATAAATCTTTTAAAAAAAATTCATTAGGACAAGTCTGAAAAAGACAAAAGACATATTCATCAAGTAAACATCCCAAAAAAACAGGGTTGCCTTACTTGTAGCCAAGCTGTCGGCAGATTACAGCTGCATCTTTATCAGTCCACCCATCATCACAAATTGTTCCCCATTGGCCATGGATAAAAACCTCCACTCGTCCTTCTTTCTTATTTTCTCCATCCATCAGTCTGATAGGAAAACCTAAATCATGAATTACAAGTATAAGAAAAGCCAAAACAAGCAAACTGAAGCATGCAAAACAAGCATTACTAATGCATGGGAGACTCCAAAAACATATGATTTGTTTTTCAAATCAGTTGGCCGGTAGCAGAGAGAGAATGTCACTAAAAAATTGTATTCAATTTTGCAATATCTATGGGAGTTCATATTGTTCAACTTTGCTCTGGCAGCATTTGGAACAGTGCCTGACACAGAGAGGACATGCAATAACGATTTGTTCCCAGATTGACTCACTGGCTGAATGAGTGAACGAATGAATGAATAGTACTGTAAAACAGGGAGTGATTTTATTACCACTAACATCTTCATAGTAAAAGAGATTAACTTAGGGTTGTTTTATTTCATGTCTTTTCATTTATCCTTTAACATAGCTAGAAATATCTACCCCCAGCTATGATTTCTAAGAATGGATAAATGAATACCCCCTTGGTTTACTTGAATATATAAAAAGCCAATGGAGGAGGAAAAAAAGAAACTAGTAAAGGGAGACAATTTCCAACTCGCACTGCCTATTTATTATCCATTACAAAGGAAGAGCTTAAGTCATAAAAGTTGCTAAGATGTAAAAAGTTGAAACTGTTCTGCAGCAAACTGGGGTTTATCTAAGTCGTGCAAATGAAGTGGTTTGTAGAGTTACACACATCTCTATTGGAACCAATACACAGTGTCATCTGATTGAAAGCACACAGGTGGCTCGCATACTGTTGTAGTTTGAACTCTGAGGTCATCAGGTTGGGTCATAATCCAAAAGGACTGATGTCCTAGTGAAAAGGGAGAAGGTGAACAGTAGATTCATGGAAGGAAGACAATGTGAAGGGACACTCAGGGAGAAGATGGCCATCTCCCAGCCAAAGGAAGAGGCTTGTACAAATTCTTCCATCACAGCCCTCAAAAGGAACAACCCCAGAGCATGTTGATTCTGGACTCCTAGCCCTCACAATTGTGACACAGTAAATATCTGTTTTTAAGCTACCAGAGTGTAGTACTTTGTTACTGCACCCCAAACAAACTAATGTAAGTACTTTGATTACCTAGTTGCTAGAGGGGTCTCCAGCTTCATGGCCTCTAGGATTTATTTAGGGATTACAACAAAGCTAGGGAAATTACCAGAACCAATGAGGTAGACTAAGCAACTACCATTTAATGTGTTTAAACCAATATAAACAGCTACCAAACTGACATGTTAACTAGACAACATTATTGGCAGGATGTTCACATCCTTCTTTGATTCCTGTGATCCACTTTTATTTCTCCGTCCTGTTGTCTTGATAGTTTCTATCTCTGATGGTACTCACTTTGTGAAAGACACAGTATGGTAGAATCAATATAGAAAAGTCAAAATCTATAAGCACTATCGAGTGCCTATCCTATGCAATAGTACCAACTAGAAAATGTAGAGCTTTAGTTATGTCATAAAACACAGTAACTTTGAAAACATTTCTAATTAATGTATCTGAAATTTAGGGGTTCTTTTAAAGAGAAGTATAGTCAAATGATCCTCAAAGAAAAAAAAATTCAAACATGAAATAATGCATAGAATATGTGTGAACCCAATTTTAGTAATTCATTTAACAAAATCACTGGATTTTAAATACTTTGGAGTAAACTGGGTGACAAAGGTCACTATCAATGCCACCTCATGATTTTGTCAGAGCAATCACAATATGCACATTTTATTTCTAAAATTTTAAATAAATGTAAACTGTACAGAAAACTAAAAAGCTTTATGTATATATAGTAACTTTAATTAAATATTTCAAACTTTGATTTCCAGTAGAGTTTTTTTTTCCAGTAACATTTTTCTTTTTTTTATTTCCAGTAACATTTTTCTGGAAGATAAAATTTAGTATAAATATAAGAAGTCAAAGTTTATACTGTAAAATTAATTATGAAGCAACCTCTTTATGAAAGAAATGTCTGCTAAGATTTAATACTCTGAACTTTAGAATTACTACAATATTAATTGTATTAAATGAGAAATCTACTTACCATCCCACAGATTTCTCCTAATCCGCATAGGCATTAACTGTATTCTTAATGGGACTAATTTTATTTACATAGAATAGTGCTTTTGAGCATTTCACTCATTACAGTCCCAAGTATAGAATCAAGTCTTTCTAATTTCAGGGACAGTTTCATTCACATTTAAAATTAAGATTCACAGCCCACCCTTCAAATTTTGAAAACATTAATAATCCAATGAGTCATCATTCTAGTGTCAAAGAAGTAAAAACCTCAATTGTTTTTAAAATACTATTGTTTATGTAATTATTCTACAATTTCCTTTCCTAAACTCCTCTTTTACATTTCAGTCCTTTTTGACAGATGGGAAAGTAATCATCTGTGAGGGTGAATAAATGGACATATGATTCCATTTCAAAAGAATATTTGGCTGACGTAATGCTCTTCAGATAAATGAATAGCTAATAGACATTGTCAAAATTAGGACCAAAGAGACCCATACTAATGATCAGGTGTTTTACTAAAATTATTACCGTCGGCTTTTTAATTTTTTATGAAATATATCTGGAATTCTACAATTAAACAGACTTTTTGAGAAATTGAAAATATGAGTTGACTTTTCCAAAGGATTGTTTAACCCCAAAGGCCTGCAGAGAACTCAAGATTAGGGTCTTCTACACGCTATTTGGAGTATTTCATCACCTAAATCACTCCAGAAGCCAAATGCCTACTATCTTGAAATCATAGCATCTACTGCTAGCAAACAGTTTCTCATTCCCCAAGCACATGCATTCATCCATCACATAATCCTGGGTGAATAATAAATCCTCCAAAAGAAGGGAGCAAGGGAAGAGAACAAACAAAAAGAAATTAACATGGAAAAATGAGCTTCATGATGAAGTAAAGTGCTCTGTTTCTATTTGGTTTAATGCTAGAATGGAGCAGTGAGTCTCCAGGATCTCTGGGCTGAGTACACAATGAGGATTCAGCCACATACACTGATGACTTAAGTATCCAATACGGTCAACACTGGGATTCTTTCTACAAAGGCAGTAATATGTGGTGTGAAGATTTAAGTTTCACAGTCTCAAAACAAGAGGAAACAAAAAAGGGGTTAATTTGGGCCCTCCCTGGTGGCTCAGTGGGTTAAAGCACAGCACTATGAAGCTAAAGCCATTTTCTCATGAGTTCAATCCCTGCCTGCCCTGGAGGTGACCACATGGTGCAGCAGACCTCTCCTGACCCCACCCACTGTTCCCCTCCACAGTGTTCTTCGATGATCTGCCTGTTCTGCTCCCCACTCTATCTCTGGTGAATCCTCTGGCCTGTACCCCAGTCCTGTATGTACAAATAAATAATTTTTTTTAAAAAAGGAGGGGTTCATTCAACCCTGAGGTGAAAAATCATCAATGGTTATTTTAACATCTATTCACCAAAAAATACAGATACACAAATATATGATAGTGCTGAGGTAGTGTCCTGGCAACTCTTTTGAATAGCTCTGTCTGTACTTTTTATTCATATTATTTCATACTTAACATCTATCAAGGATACTAGGTTGCTCTCAGCTCACAAGATGTTTATCCTTATATATTTCAGAGCAATTAGATGAGCTAGATATCTTTTATCAACTACCAGTCTGAATAAATTTAGAACTGGGGAACAGGAAAAGTCCCTGAAGGATCTGCAAATTGACAAAGTGTCTCAGAATAATGGGTGGGCTTTTCACCTCAATCCATCCACTTGAAGGTTGTTGAGAAACTTGAATGATCTAGGTTAAGGTGATATTAACTCATTAGAGTTCAAGGTAAGTGCGATCTAGGATAAGTGGCTGAGATTCTCACATTTTATTGAGAAACTGAGGCTTTTGGGTAAATAAAAACTTTAGGAATAGAAATGCTATAATACTTGCAGAGGAACTCAAAAGCTTTTTGTCCCCAAATATTAATAATGGAAAATTAGAACATCCTAGGAAATCAACTAAGAGCCAAAGCAGAGAAATGGAGGTGCGGTGTGTACTAAGTTAGGGTACTTGAAAGCTGCAGCTGGTCCTACCTTGAGAGAGTCTGTGTCCCTCAATGCCAGGGAAGCAGGCAATCCCCACATCTTCACGATGGCTGCAGTCATGCTTTCCCCACGGTCTCCGGGAACACTGGAGGAAGCTGGCTTCTTTTCCTAAGCACCTGACATCATCCAGCCATATGGGCCCTGTGCTTTCTTCAAAGTGGTTTGCAGAGGCTTGTTTGCCATATCTGCATAACAAAGCACACATTATGCATAGAACTACCACACATAAAACAAACACGCTAATTAGGTGTCATGACTTCAAGGGACAAGTATTGTTCCTTCTCCTATCTTGAGGACAGTGCTCTAGAACCAGTGATTGTCCCATCACAGATTCTGATCACAGTTTTTGTTTGATTCAGTGCATAGCAAATCCTTTTTCCCATCTGTGCTTGTGCTTGGTCTATAAATTAACTCAGCAACCAGAGAGAATGCAGACAAAGAGATAAACCTCAAATACCTGACTAGTGAAATGTGAGAAAGTGAGACATTTCCTTGGGGAACCAGAAAGTGACAGTTGCCTGGCACAGGCCTCTGAGGAACCATCTACGCTCATTTGATTTCATCAACTTTCCTAAGCCCTGTTGGTGTCCTCTTTCTTCTTCAAAATAAAAATTGTGTATTAGTTCAGGGATTCCTTACGTACCAAAACCAAACAATGAAGAAATGTGGATTTCAGCCCATTAAAATCAGAATAATGACAATATTCTTAGCTTTTCCTAGGTTATATAAAGTTGATTTTTTACATTTGTATAAATTACTTTTTGTTCTAATTGGTTCGTTTGTGACAAAACACTACCAAAAACCTAATAAAATATGAAAAAAATATATATATACTGTAGAAACAGGAAACATCTGCAAAAGAAAAAAAAAGGTTAATCAAGTCACTAAGGGCCTATGTAATTAAACTCTCTCATAACGTTTGTGTCAACGATTCCCCTCGACGGATGTTTCGGTTATTCTGTACTGAGGCTTTGAATGGAATGAATTTTCCTAATTGTTTTCCTCTGTACTTATTTTTTAAACTTATTCAGGAAGATGAACATTTTAATAAATTAAGAAATACATTCAATGAATAATTCTAAGACATTTTCTACTCTGCTGAATAGTCAAGTTTTAACAAGAAAAGTAATTTACCTAAATCCCATCTGGCTATCACTTTCAACTTATATCCTGTTTCTCACAGAATGTATACCTAAGGCCATCTATCCATACCAATTCTATCACAGATCACAGGGGGTCATTTTTCTTTGGGATTTTTTGTAGAAAGAGACCCAGAGGTCATCTTCTTTCTTATTCCAAACCAATAGTCTTTCAGAAATTCATTTGTAAACTAAATGATACACATGACTATTGGTGGGTTCCTATGAGCTGGCTACTAGCCGGCCACTCATGGGCAGTGGTGACCTATTTACTCTCGACAAATCACAGCAGAGAATTCCTCGACTACAGAGTATATAGCTCGTACCACGAGGCCGGCCCAGGGATGCCTAGGCTGCTGTTAACCTGATTATGTGACTGCCTCCATGGCGGTCGGGGGGTCACTCTGCCTGTGATAACATCGTCCTTTGCTAACAAAAATGTCTCTTGACACATGGTCACGACGTCCCCTTCCCTGCCCCTTGTAAACCTTGCCCTCTATTCCTATCCTACCCACCCACCCAGCCCCTGTTCCTCATGCCACTGCCATACGATCAGCTTTCACTGTGCTTTCAATGGAACGAGAACTTGTGCTCCAGCAGCGGCGTCTAGCCTTGCAAACCTGCTCCGTGACTGCTGTGTCCCTCATGGGGTTGCTGCTGCAAAGTGGCAACAAAGTTCCTGTTACAGCTATTCTATCTCCTACCACAATCCAGTTAAAACTTTTAACCAAGAAACTCAATAAAGAACAATTTTAGAACTATTTTCTTGTGTCTACAAGAAAAACAATGAATTTGTGAAATAAAATAGTAAGACAAGTAAGCAAATAGTAAAAAATAGTACATCTAAATTTCTAAATCTGTGAAAACATAAGGTTCTCTAAATGGCTTTAGTTAAAGACGAAATAGCACTTATTAAGTTATTTACATTAAACATCAATATTCATTTGGTAGCTATGTCACACACCTTGGCCTCATAATTTTAATAAATGCATTGCCCACAGAGATTCAAAATTTGGGACAATTATGTGTTACATGCTTTCCTATCTTCATGATAGCACTATAACAGAAAAAAGTAAACTAATCTAAATATAAAATCAATTATGAGATGAATAATTAATGGATAGATATGATCACTAGAAAGTAAGACTATGTATTGATAAAAAATGTAGATAAAAAGCTTGCTTGTCCTCTATTAAAGTTTATAAAATGGAGAAATTATGTGTACTTTTTTATTTTTTATCTTTTCCATACTTTCTACAATATTTTATACTACCTTTACAAATTAAAAAATAAGTTTTAACAGGGTCATGCCAAGCTAGAATGAACATACATTTTTAAAGCCTATAAGTGTTTTCAATTCACTTTACCTCAAAGTGAAATCAAATAACTTTGCGCATTTTTCAAGCATGAAACAATTACTTCAAGCAAGTCGCAGAAGCATGGAAAACAAGAAATAATGAGCATTCATGGGCTGCAGCAAATATTAGCTCAAAGGCACCATTTGCTGTTACTTCAGCCAACTTGGGTCTTTTCTCTGGAATGCATTATAGGGGACATGAAATATATGGCCCAGACTGTGAGATTCAGCTTTTAAGAGTGAGGTCAAGGGTGAGTTCTAAAGGTCATCCCATGACCAGAGGGTTGTTTTTCTCAAACAAAAGTGAAAGTTATCATCACATTTTTAAAAAGAGAATAAAGTAATGTGAACACAATCGACACTGGACTTCTCTGCCACTTTAAACACAAGTGATGTCAGAATTAACAGCATCCAATAGCAGAGATAACCTCAGACTAAAACAGTGAATTCAGAGCATACAATCTTACCTGAATAGCCACAAAATAACCTAAAAATCACCCAAGGCTTCCAGCAATTTTTAAGAACAGTAGTGACAGGAAAGATGAATGAGTGAAATAGTAAGATAGCCATCTAAAATGAAGTGATAGCTTTTATCATTGTGGCTTCATATTTAAATGACTAGATGAGTTAGAAAGCGAGATGATAGACAGCTAGAAATAGATAGTAGACAGATGATTTAAAGACAGATGTATTTCTAGTATTACAGAAATTATAAGAATTTACAAAATGAGACTTTTAAATATCTATCTGCTTTGAGCAGCCCCCAAACAATGGGCCTTACTTGAATCCCAGCTGTCGGCAAACCACATATGTATTCAGCTCATTCCAGCCGTCATCACAGACCGTCCCCCACTGTCCCCTGTAGTACACCTCCAGGCGCCCCTCATGGCTGCCTTTACCACCTACAAGTCTGATGAGCCCATCTGTGATAAAGAGACAGAAAATAAGCAAATCAAGTCTCACAAAAAGGCAAAACAACGTTTTCATTTCACTAGAAATATCACCCTGTTCAGGTCTCTCTGTAGGCCTCTTGTTCACTTATTTTAAGGCTGTGCTCAATGATCTGAGGCCACTGAACTGTTTCTGAAAGATGACATAACAGTATCTGTCCTAACAGGACAGTTTTTCCTTATTATTTACACTCATATTCTCTGAGTAGGAAGATATTTTCTGACAGCAGTCCAAAGTAGCTACTTATATTTCTTACAATTAAATGATATCTGGGAAATTTCCTGTAGTATCAATCTCCTTAAGTCTGAGAAATATCAGTCATTTAAATTAAAAATTAAGAAAACATAATCTTGGAAAAAGTTCATGATTTTAACTACAAATGAAAAATGTTGAGACACAAAGACAGAAAGAGCTATTCTGGATAAAGAGTGTCCTATTAAGTCATTGCACTTTTTATTTTTTTATTCCTTAGGTACTCATAAGCTATAAAAACTGGGGTGCACACCTGCCTTTGTTCTTGTATTGACAATACAGTTCTGAATTTAAAACTTATGATATCAATGAATAATTTCCAGAGGATCATATAGTCTCTAAACAGGCACACAATACAAAAAATTTACCCCCCCAAATATGTATTTTAAAACCTTTTTTATTGTGATAATAGTGGTTTAACACACAGTATACGATTTAGGGGAACAGGTTCATGCCTCCTCAGAAGTACACGATCAAAGAACCCACAACCTTTACCATAGACCATTTCATCCAAAATAATCCAAACACCAGCCATGAGAAGCATAAATCTTCTAAGGCAAAGGTCTTACTTTTCATGAATCTCTGAGATCCTTATTTCAAAGCAAATGAAGGCCTCTTAGCAACAGAACCACTTATTAATGCGGTACTTGACTGTGTGCAAAGCTTGCTAGTATGACCTCATTCAAGCATTACAGCATTACAGTAACACTCTCTTCATTTGACAGAGGAGAGTATGGAGGCCCAAGAAAATGGAATGTTCGGTTTTAAAAGCTGGTGTAATTTTTAGTTTTCTAGTACATATAAGTGTCTTATTCTGGTAATGAAAACAACAGCATATATAGGACTACATATATATGATTTCAGAATTTTGATTTTTGCAAAATAATGATTAAAACCCTCATTTTTCCTTCAAGTTCTAGAGAAACAATGCATTTTTTCGAACAATATAACCCCTCTTGATGATCTATTTGCCTTAAAAGAGGTGAAGTACACAGGTAAGTACATACACACACACTTGCAGTCACACATCTTCTTACAACACATGACATACTTGATAGACAACTTGGTATAGTCTGAAAATTGAGCCAATGAAGTTATCTTGGTTCCTCAACAGTATACTATAATCACCACTCCCCAAAAAATAGTTTTACCAGCTAAAAAAATACAGTTCTACTCAGCTGTCTGAGTGTCAAGACAGTTCACAGATCAATGTACTAAAGCTACAATTATAATACCTAATTTCTGAAATAGATCACCACACACTGATTTTGATTATTCGTTTCAAAAGTTTTAACAAACATATTTTCTGATCTAGCTTTATATAACTGTAGAAACTTAAAGTGAAAAATTCAGAAGTATCACTAAATAAGAAAACAGCATTTTAATACATAATTTGTGTTAGTTTTTCTTTTCAAGTTTTAATGGGGGGGTTTATTTGTAGGCTCAGGTAGTAACATTATATTATTAAGGAGAAAGGAAAATGAACTCAAATGATACTGGAGTCATGAACAGGCAGACAAAGGGAGTGAAATGCTTACCTGTTAGAGGGGTACAAGACACTCCAGCATCTTCTTTATGGCCACAGTTATGCTCTCCCCAGGAGCTCTTTGGGCATTGCTCAATAGAAAGTTCATTTCCAGTACAGCGAACTTCATCCAGCAATACCGGTCCAGACCCTTCCCCAAAATGTGCCTGGTTCCAAGCTTTGGCAATGCCACTGAACAAACAGAAGGATAGGGGCATACTGAATTGAACACTACAGGTAGTTCTGACATTTCCTTTGCCCCTGATGAAAGTATAAATACAACAAAGGCGTAGGCGTACTTACCAGTGAGCTCTACAGGGCACGCATGGCTGGCTGTATTTCTTTGTTGTTGCTTCTTTGCTGTTCTTTATATTCTTAGGTACCATAAATGTCTAAACTTACAAGCTATTCCTTACTATTTATTCTCCTTTTCCTCATTTACAATGGAGCCTCAGATTTTTAGGAAGGCAAGGGCTATCCAGAATAAACACATTGCCCAGTTCTTATCTAACATAAAATAACCATTTTTATGTGTACAATTCAGAAGCGGTAGGTCCGTTCACTTTGTTGTACCCTATCAGCACCATGCATCTTCACAACTTTTCAACTTCTCCAACTGAAACTCTACCTTATTTTAGTCAATGACATTTTGGCCAGTGAATTTTAGGTACAAATGATATGTGTGACTTCTAGGAAATGTTCTTTTTTCACTTCCTCTTTGCTGCTGAGATAAAAGCAGAGTGACATGTGAAGTTTCAGGAGCAATCTTGGGTCATAAAGTGCCATGTAAAGATGGCAGAACTGCTAATAAGAAAGCTTCTGTGCCCAGCTGAACGTGGCCCCTCCACACTAGCCTACAGCTTCCTCCCTTGGCCTCAGGAGAGAGAAAAGATTCCTGTCCTGCTTAAGCTACTGTTATTTTCAATTTTCTGTTATTCACAAACATATCTGTAACTAATGCATCATCTCTCTCTCTTTTTTTTTTAACAGAAGGCATAGTTTTGTTTATTATTTAAAAATGTATTTACTTATACATACAGAACTGGGGGTACAGGCCAGAGGTGCAGGGGTAAAAAGATTCACCAGAGAGAGACAGAGTGGGGAGCAGAAGTGGAATCCACTGCCAAGAGAAGCAGCAGGTGAGACAAGAGAAGTCCATTGCGCCATGTGGGTCACCTCCCTGGTGGGGAGCGAACTTGTGCCACAGCAGCGGTGGCCAGCCTTACAATGCGGTGCCTCAACCCATTGTGCCATCAGAGAGGGCCCTAAAACATCTCTTTATTCAAATCTATTTGTTTAATTTGCTTCTCCCAAAGTTCCAAATAATACCACATTATGGAAGCCTAGGTTTTAGTAAAGAAGATCATGAAAGATGTGAAACAATGATGTTTAATTAATAAAGTAATGTTCAAAAGGCTATAACAGAAAAGCCTCCAGAGAGGGAGGGGACATGGGGGGATGGGAGGAACAACAGGAGAGGGAGGGAGTCAGGCAGACTAACAAGTTATTAGAATAAAATAATAGGAACACAGTTCTCGTAACTGTGGGCATAAGAGGATTTGCAGAGCATGGTCAGGAAGTGAAAAGTCAGTAAAACAAAGGCTAAAAAGCTGAATTTAACCACATACAATTTAAACAACTGTATGGCAAAAACAACATAATCAGAGCCAAAAATTAAACCTACAAGTTAGAAGAAACATTTGTGATTCATAACAGCAATCAAAGGAAAAGAACTCAAAATTCATAATTACTTCTTATTATATTATTAAAAAGAAAGAACAATCAATCTCTATGTAAAGAAGAGGAGCAGGCTACACACGGAGGAAGAACAAAGGCATTCTTGCCTATCATATTTTCATAGGTTAAAAAGATTAACATCACTTCCATACAATATGTAAGCTAAAAGTTTACAGACTAGGGGTTTTTATCACTAAGGAAAAATAATAAGCTTAAATCCTCCCATGACTGGGAGTAACTAGAGATAGGTTCGGCAGAATAACTGAAACCTATCAGATTTCAAATATGTTAAAGCTGATGTGTTAGAGAGCCTAGGAAAATGCAAAGGGCCTCAGAACTACATCTCTTTCTAAAGGAAGAACAGAGGGCGGAGTTGCAGAAGCTCGGACAAATGACCCTGGGGACAGCTGTCTCTGCCAAAGTGCGCTCTTAAAACCCCACTTGGCTGTTTTATTTTCTTCCTGATATATTTCCATGGTTTCTTTGTTTATAAACATGATTTCAATGATCACAAAACGATGTTTAGAAATACCTAATCAGAAAAATAAACTTGAAAACAAAAAGAAAAAAAAAGGAAATTATGATGTAGTACATATTAGGCTTTCTAGGTAATATTTGAGCTGATTAAACTTAAGAAGATAATATTTACATACAGACCACACCTTCAGTCGGTCACAGTATTTCCTGGTGCCCTGGCCTGGCTTCCAGGGAAATACCAAAAAAAAAAATAGCTGCCTCAGCCCTTAAAGAGATTTTACAGTATTAGGGGAAGATGTTTAATTCAAATAAATTTTAAATGAATTCCATAAAGCTGTGTGTTCTCTGTCCTTCCCAATCTTGCTCACTTTCTTATCCTTTGACCACATAGTAAGTTTGTGAGTAGGAGACCTCTGAGATACACTGAAGTTGTTATTTTGTGTAAAGCTATTCAACCTCTGATAGTAACCTCAGAAAATACTGAGTGATCCTTATTTGACATATTCTCAACCCTATTTAGTATTTCTGTAAAGCTTAGTGCTTTTATAGAAAAGATGAGGGATGTAACACACAGCATGTTAGCTAGTTAACACCATTACATGATATATATGATAGCTATTAAGAGTACAAATCCTAAGAATTCTCATCACTTGGAAAATAAATATTTCTTTCTCTTGTATCTGTATGAAAAGATGGATGTTAACTAAACTAATTTATGGTAATCATTTCAAAATAAAAGTTAAATCATTATGTTACCTTAATACTCCTTAAATTTATACAGTGCTATATGTCAATTGTCTCTCAAAAAAACTGGGGGTGACATTTCAAAAATAAAAACAACAGAAAAGAAAAAAATACATAACACCATCTGTCTCAATCTCCATGCTGAGCTACTACTTTGAACTGATGCAGAATAGATTTAGGCAATTCTACTGTGCAGGATAACTATTTGTTCACTTTTTTTTTTTTTTTTTAAAAAAAGGGCCCTTTAACTGCAACTAGCAATTTGTGGTTTGAAAAGTTCATTTTTAGCTATCAATATCTTAGATTTGTCTCTGAAAATCAATCCCCTGCACCTCTAATAATATTTGAAGTCCACTAAACTCTTACTGGATGCCAGGCATTGATCTAACAGCCTTTAATGTATAAACTCCTGTCATCCTCCCCATAAGCAACAACTTACAGTTGAGGAAACTGAGGTCCTGAAGTTGAATATCTGGCCCAACATTACAATGCCACCAGGCAATAAAGCTTGTCTGGCTGTAGGGCAGGATCCAGAAGACACCATTTTACAGCTTCCTGGGCATTTCTTTTTCTTTTTTTCCTGAGCATTTTTAAGGAGCCACAGTGTATCTAAATACAGTTACTGTCATTTTTTACCACAAATCAACCTCCCTTTTTGACATCCCTATTTTGTGTAGCCCTATATTTGCTTTTATTCTTATGAAAACCTTGCTATTCTGCAAATAGTATGCTATGAAGGAAAAAAAAAAAACAAAAACAAAAAACCCTACACAGAAGAGCCATAAATATCAAGATTCCGGCTCTCACTAACAATAGATCTCAGGGCTTTGGGTTATCTCAGAGGGACCAGCTTCCTTACCTGACTGTTAAACAAGGACTCTCTCCTGTTCAATTGTTCCATGAACCAAGTTACTTTTCTGGCTATGCTTATAAAATATATATTTTAAGTAAATGAACAGGAAAATAAAAAAGCAAAGAAACATTTTTGAAAAGCAATTTGTACCAGAATTTTTCTTCTAACTGGCCGATAGTAATAACATAGGTTTATATAATAATTTTATAGCATACAAAAAAATAAGAGGAAAGAAATTTTCAAACATTGTAAATTCCTCTGTAAATTACATCATATCCACACAGTAAAACATGTATCATAGTCCTGAGCTCACTTTTAAGCACTTTCAAAACACCAGAGGAAATGCTCTAATCTGAAAAGCACAAAGGGACTCTAAATTTAATATCTCCAGCAGAAACGCCATCGTTTTCCTTGTGTATGTGTGTATGTAAAACTTAAGCTCAGCCACCTAACATCCGGCTGCCTCCTTTCCTGCTCCTCATCTTTCTCCAAGTTCCACATTAATCAAATCTAAGTATCTTAAGCACAGTATCCCTCCTGTATTTAGAAGTATGCCAACTACCTCTGTCTACAGACACCATTAAAAATGGGCATGAGGGTGTGGGCGACTTTAAGACAACATCTCACTAGGAAACTGTAGCCACCGCACCAGGAGGTTGCATAGTTTCCCTCTGAGAGTCCAACAAAGCAAGTAAGACAGAGATGATTGCTAAAGAACAAATTATGGAGACAAGTGGCAATTACGCTGCCTGCTACCAGCCACATACCATTAAGAATGATTTCATCTGAAAGTACTGTATCTTTTTTTTTTTTTTTTTTAAGATTTATTTATTTATTCATACAGAACTGGGGTACAGGCCAGAGGCTCAGGGGCGGTGAGAGGCTTCACCAGAGACAGAGTGGGGAGCAGAACAGGCAGATCGACAAAGTACACTGCTGAGGGGAGCAGCGGGCGGGTCAGGAGAGGTCTGGCTCGCCATGTGGTCTCCTCCCGGGCAGGCGGCAGGCGGGAATCGAACTCATGCGGAAGTGGCCTCAGATTCTCAGTGCTGTGCTTTAACCCGCTGCGCCACCAGGGAGGGCCGAAAGTACTGTATCTTTAAGTTAGGAAAACTCAAGAGGAAGGGCAGCTGCATAAAATGATTTTAATGCAAACTTATGAGAGACTACAAAATTAAACAAAAAAGGCAAACGATAATAAAAACAGAAGTCTACCAAGCTGGATGGCTGGCTGTTGCATGGGCCTGTGGAGGATCTTTGTTGCTTTGTATACATGGAGATACTTTTCCCTTTTAATTGTTCCCAATGTGAACCCCCTCGAACAAAAGGAGCAAAGAACTAACATTGGAGAAAGCTGTAAAACAACCCAGAATTTTTCTTTTTTTTTCTCTCTTATATTCTTTCTAAGAATTAGGTCATTTTTTGTCAACATGGCCTCTACTGAAAAGTGGGAAAAAATATCTTTGCTCCTCAAGAAAGAGCTTGACATTACAACAATTATTAGAATCATTTCTGGAGCTATAAGTAATTTTCACCATGTGTCACTTCATGTTTCTATGCATGTTTCTAAGCCAAAGAAAAGGTTTTTTTCTCTACACAAATACATAAATGATAAAAATTCCCACATAGCTTAAATCTATAGTTATCCCTTTTATAGCTGTTAAAGTTAACTATGCTATTACAATACTCTAAACATTCTTGTTATTTGGGGCATGGATATAGGTGTCTTAGTAGCATCAAGGATACTAACGAAAAACAGCTCAGCATCAGCATCAGAGAGATATAAAATCAAACTCAGAAACAAATGGCTAGGCTGCAGAGTGAACACGTTCTCTCCAGAGAGCCCGCAGCCAGTACAAAGATCAAAAGGTGGCCTTTTCTACTGGTTCAAGGAAATGGGCGGTTTAAACACACCACACCTCTCCGGGTGAGGAAAAACAGATTCAAAGATTTCAGTACAAAATAGTGCAAGAAAAACCAACCTTAAGCCCAGCTGCCTGCAGATCACTTCTGCATCCGCATCATCCCACTGGTCATCGCAGACGGTGCCCCACTGGTCAGCATGGTAGAGCTCCACGCGACCTTCGTAGGTCTTGCTCCCGCCCACAAGGCGGATGATGGGGAGCACTGGGCCTGTGAGGTGGGGGGAGGGGAGAGAAGGAGGGAATTAAACAGTAATTAATACTACATGTTGGGACTGAATCTTAACATTAGTATATGCTGGATGCTCCTTGGTGGTGCAATGGGTTAAAGTGCAGAAGTTATCTGTAGCCACTACAGTGTGAGTTCAATTCCCAGCCAAGGCGGCGACCCAGAAGGCACGGGGCAGATGTCTCCTGACCACCACCCACCCCCACACACACACCCTCAGCTGCTCCCCTCAGCAGTGTATTTCAGTCAATCTGCCTATTTTGGTCCCCACTATGTCTCTGATGAATGCTCTCATGCCCCCAGCACCTCTGGCCTGTACCCTAGTTCTTGTATGCATAAATAAGTATATGCAATTTCATTGCCATTCTCAACAATTAAATAATATTAAGTCACTTCAGTGATTTGGATGTACACACATACCTAAAAAATATTGTAGCAATTGTGAGCAATTAAAGCACTGTCCAAGTAGAATGACATTCATACAAACTACCTTAAGGAGAAGGAGTCCAAACTCGCTCCCCAACAACCTTAAAAGACACACTCACTGGGCCCTCCCTGGTGGCTTCGTGGGTTAAAGCACAGCACTAGGAAGCTAAAGCCACTTCAGCATGAGTTCGATCCCCACCCTGGAGGTGACCTACATGGCACACAGCAGACCTTTCCTGACCTGGCCGCTGCTCTTCTCAGCAGTGTACTTCATCAGTCGGCCTGTTCTGCTCCCCACTCTTTGGTGGATCCTCTCACCACCCCTGAACCTCTGGCCTGTACCCCAGTTCTATATGTAAATAAAATAAATATTAAAAAAGGACACACTCAAAACTGCAACTTATTGAACATACATTTGATTTTGATGACAATGTGGTGGTGATATTGATTCTTTTTATTTGCAGTGACTTGGCCATTACCAACATGGAATTATTAAGGATAGCATTTATGTTTGTAACATCCTAGTTTTCAGTACAGAAATATGTTTATACTTGTAAAAATCAAGTTAAGTGATTAAGCAAGTGGTGACATCATGTCCTATACCTCTAAGAAACTACTGAAGTTGATTTGGATATCAACAGCTCATCTTCATTTCCTCTGTTAAGAATCAGCTAGTGGGGCCTGCCTGGTGGCACAGGGGTTAAGTCCCAGAACTACCACCACTGCAGCCTAAGTTTGATCCCAGCCCGAAAGCCAACCCACATGGTGCAGCAGACCTCTCCTGTCTCACCCGCTGCTCTCCTCAGCAGTGTACTTTCGTCAATCTGCCTCTTCTGCTCCCCACTCTCTCTGGTGAATCCTATCACCATCCCTGCACCTCTGGCCTATACCCCAATTCTGTATGCATAAATAAATAAACCTTAAAAAAATAAAGCAGTCAGTGGTTCACTGGTTATATGCCTATTGTCTACCATCTGTCAACTGGATAAAGGATAGAGACAGTGGCCTTCCCTTCCCTTATTATCTCAGGTATCTGGCCCATTCAAAAGCACACAACACACATGCTCAAACTGAGTGGACTGGCAAATGACAGGTAAAAACCTAGAAAGGATAGCCCAAACAAGGAGAAATAATGAGCGATGTGTCCAATTCTGCCAAACAAAGGCCAGGCACCTGCTGAGTGCAAATGCTGCATCAAGCAGGGAAAGGCCTCCAGTGGAGCACTAGAGAACTTTCCTGGAGACGCCGTGCCTAAGTAAATGCACAAAGCACATCGAAGAGGTCACCAAGAAGACCCTGCAGGGGTGCCGGAGCAAGGGTGCCTGCTCACCGTTGGGCGTACTTAGGGGACCTCTTCTCAAGAAGCTGGAACTGAAGAGGGCCCAGATGGATGGATGAGATTTCAGAAATCTGACATGGGAGAAGGATAGTTCAGGCAAAATGGCCGTACGAGAAAGGCCTCTAAATGTTAGAGGCCCAACATTTAACATGCCTGGGAAATAGTGAGGCAGTGAAATTTTTTTCTGGAATAAAGGGTGTAGTGGAGTAAAAGGTTCAGAACAGACTGAGCTTCTCTTAGGAAGTCTAGCTGCACTCTTGGTCCAATATTAATCTTTTAGCCATGTGAAATATGCTTCCCCCTTCTCCAGAGTTAAGTGGAAGTCAGCAAATGGTATTTGGATATGCACATATATATTCAAATAATCATACTTGCGTTTTTGCAGCAGATTCAGATCTACAAATATTTGTATATATTTATATTCTGATATTTGTAATTTAGCTAACAACAAACATTTGCAATTTGTAAAAAGATTAAGATAGGTTTGAAAACCTAACTATTCTCACAATTGTATAATAGTTACTTATAATTGATGGCTGGCTGATATCAAGAAACTTAAATCTACTAAGTTTTTAGCAAATTAAGCAAAAAATTACATTATATTGATTGATCCTTTAACAGAATAAGAAAAATATACAAAAAATGATGGATGATGTGTTATATCCTCCTCTCTCTCCCCTGTTTCTACCACCTGGGTAAATTAGGAGGAAGGAGAAAAACAAAAAGTTTTCAAGAGGAAATTCAAAATCAACTAAATAAAGCCTGTAAGTTTACATTGTTAAATGTTCTGCTTAATTTTAAAGTGGGGGTGGGGGGTCTTTTTTTCCAGTTGTATAAGTAATTACAAAACTATGGAAAGCTCAAGGTCAAATTTAGTTACATCCCACATCCTCCAACAAACACACAAGAAGTCATTTGAAAATACATTCACTGAAGTAGCTAACTCATGTTTAACTGATGTATAAATACAACTCTGAGGCATTTACATTTAGATTGTTACCTCCTCTACCTAGTGCCCACCCAAGAGTTTGGAGAGCAACAAGTACTAGATTGACAAGACACTAATTTCCAAATTAAAAGAATGTATCAGGGCCCTCCCTGGTGGCACAGCAAGTTAAAGCACAACATGAGGCCCTCCCTGGTGGCGCAGTGGGTTAAGGCACTGCACTGAGAAGCTAAAGCCACCTCCGCATGAGTTCGATTCCCGCCTGCCCGGGAGGTGGCCACATGGCGCGGCAGACCTCTCCTGACCCGCCCGCTGCTCCCCTCAGCAGTGTACTTCATCGATCTGCCTGTTCTGCTCCCCACTCTGTCTCTGGTGAAGCCTCTCACCGCCCCTGAGCCTCTGGCCTGTACCCCAGTTCTGTATGTACAAATAAATAAATCTTTAAAAAAAAAAAAAAAAAGCACAACATGATAAAGCTAAAGCCACTTCAGCACGAGTTTGATTTCTGACCTGGGAGGTGATCCACATGGCGCAGCAGACCTCTCCTGTCTCGCCTGTGCTCCCCTCAGCAATATACTTTGTCGATCTGCCTGTTCTGCTCCCCACTCTGTCTCTGGTGAATCCTCTCACTGACCCTGTACCTCTGGTCTATACCCCATTTCTGTATGCAAATAAATCTTAAAAAAAAAAATAAGAATGTATCAAAGGTCTATCATTGTGCCTGAAGGTCCACTCAGTGTTTGCTGATTTGAGAGGCTTAATTTCCCATTCTCATATATTACACCATTGAGAATCTTTGTTCATTCTCCCTTCTAATTTATCTCAACCTCCTATATTTACATATGCTAATAGATGACTTTAAATTTATCTTTGTACCCAAAGTATTAACTGGTAGATTGCTTGAAATTGTTTAACTAAATAAATACCTCAGAAGAAAGTTCTTATTTTCAAAATTTTACTTACTCCACTACTTGAAAAACATTAAATACTTTATCAGTCATGCTGAACATAACATACAAGTAATCTACAAAAAGCAGTGCATTAAGAAGCCCACTTCACATCATCCTTGAAGCAGTAATGTATAAAGAAGCAGAAACTTGTCAAAAGTAGAATTACCCAAGGGTAGAGAGAGCATTAAGAAGAAAAGAAAAAAAAAAAAAAACCTATAGATAACAAAATTTAACATGCACCTCATCCACCCAGATAAGTATCAGAGCAAGGTCATGTCATCTTATAGGTTCTTCAGTCAATTCATAGAGATGGTTCTAAATTGGTCTGAATGTGGGAGTATTTCTATTTCTCCTCAATATTCATACCTTAGGCTGGAGCTAGCATTTCATGCCCCTTGACACTTGGCTATATTGCTGTCCCTAAGGAAAATATACAAATGTCGGAGGGGACATGAGGAAGCTTCAGGTTGTGGTGACACATTCAAACACACCATGTTCTCCATTAAACCCATCAGCCATCATGAAGGGCAGCTGTTCCCTCCTCCACTCCAGTTCATATAAACATGTGCACGTCTGTGTACTGAATTTACTCTACAAATAACCTCATGCCTTGTATATAGACTTAGAAGAACACTGAGTCAAGGTAGCAATCCATTCAAATAGAATGTGCTATCTAATTATGCAAAGAAGAATACTAGCACCATGATTATATTCCATTCTACAGAGTGAAAATGTCTTTTAATTGCTATATTTTACAATTGGTTCAAAACTGATTTTCCATCTTGATTCCATCATAATCTTCCATAACCAAGATAAGTCTTTCATATAAAGAATATAATTTTGTAGAAGCAAGTTAGATAAAGCAGAAAACAGTGAAACTGAGATACCATTTGAAAATCCAGTGGCTTTCAAATTGTTAGCGAATACTAGTTGAGAGCCATCAACTAGCCTATGGAATATGATGATTCAGACCTAAGTCAATATTTAAACTCTTTTAGGAAATGATTTAACTAAGACACTTTTATCATCTGTAAACATGTTGAAAACCAATGAAAGTTAAAAAAGAGAATAAATATTTTTTTTTACCATGGGGAAAGCTACATGTGAAGGCAGCTTTCTGCCATCTTCCAAAGACATGCCCCTCCCTGCCAGATGTCTTTTTCACAAAGCAGTGTATTTTCTTCATCTCCTCAGCAACGGATGTTGCTCCATTAAGTGGGACTAAAGCCCAGTTCCAAAAATGGAGTTTGTTTTGCTACTCCTCTGGAGGGATAATAGTCAGACATGCCGGGCTTATCGAACATAGATATTTTATCAAATC